AAAAGAACCTTCAATCAGGATCAGGATGGATAAAAAGCTGATGCTATTTATGACCTAAAAAAAAAAAAAAGCATTTTCATCGATCATAATTCTTTGATACAACTTTTCAAACTAGAAATGAGTCATGATTTTTGAATTTATAAACAGGTTTTTTAATAAATGCTTTATGTAACTTATCAAAAATATCTTTCTTCCCTTTATTTTATTTTAGTTTTTACTGGAGCCTGGCTGTAATGCTGTACAACTGCCATGACGGTGGCTGCTGCCCATGTGCTGTTTTCTGACCACCGGTTATTAGCAAAAAAAAGAAGAAGGCATTTATCCAAACATATCCATATCTCTGGGTTTCAATCTCTTGAATATAAAACTCCAGAAATCCTTTTTCTTTCTCAATATATATTTTTTTCCTCCAAAAGTACTCCAAATATTATTATAGGTATACAATGTAAATGTATATGTTCTTTACTTATACAGATTACATAGTAAATAAAAAATGAATTAAAAAAGCGAATAAAAAGCAATAAAAACAATAAAAGCAATTAAAAAAAAGAATAAGATACAATGCAATAAAACAAAGTAGAAGTGTCACCACACTACTGGGTATTAAAAGCCAGCATAAATAAATACGTTTTCAGGCGAGATTTGAAAAGGTCCAGGTCAGAAATAAGTCGCATTTCGGTAGGAAGCTAATTCCAGAGCCTGGGACCAGCAACTGCAAAGGCTTGGTCAACCCAGTGTTTGTATTATGATCTGGGCACTTCTAGCAGAAGTTGATTTAATGACCTCAGAGCTCTACCTGGCTCCCAAACAGTCAAAAGCTCAGTTAAATAGATGGAGGCGAGGCTGTTAAGAGCTTTAAAGACAAACATTAAAAGTTTGAAATCAATCCTGTAAGAGACAGGAAGCCAATGAAGGGAGCTAAGGACAGGAGTGATGTGCTTACATCTGTTAGTGTTGGTGAAAAGACGGGCAGCAGCATTTTGCACAAGTTGAAGGTGACTAAAAGATGATGCATATGTTTTAAAAACATGTAAAACATATGCATGTTCTTTGCACACTGGTGAAATTATATGTCAACACTTAACTCAGATGCATCTTTACGATTATGAACCGTTTACTTTGACTTTGAAAATTTCAATTGACCAATCCAGACTTGGCAGGAGAGTGTCTCACACGTCCTGCAGACTAAATCAAACAGCTTCACAGGGTCGTCAGCTGCAATGATTTGCTCTGGTCACAGTGATCACAATCAATTGGGAAACAGTGCCTGAGTTCCGGCACCTTCCACATGTTGAGACAGAGAGATGGATTATCTCTACTCCTAGAGAGCAGCGGGTTATCTGTGAGCTTTGAGAGTTATTTATAGACTCTGCAGGGGCGTCGAGGGTCTTTGTCTGTCAGAGGGTTTGAGGAAGCACCGGGGTTTAGAGCACAGCTGAACCACCGTCACCTCGCTGCGTGCAGGGCCACTAAACAAGCTTGTTTTCAGCTGTCATTCTCAAATAAGACATGGTTCTCGTATTTGCTCAGTGGAGGGATAATAGTCCGGCAATCTACCAGTGGATGGCAGTGTTGACTGAGCTCTTTGTTATGTGCCGTATAATAAAATTGGAGTATAAGAATCTATGAAATATCCAATCTGTTCTACTTACTGCAGGCCACATGCTGAATAGACATTACTCGAAGCCTGTGGAGACAAAGAATACAATCTAATTCAACCAACACTCTACAGGTAATCCATTACAAAGAAAGACAACTAAAGCTTTAACTACAGTGATCAGACTGTACGAGTTTAACATGTGCATCTTTCAGAGCAGAAGACAGTAATTCCTCTCACTTTAACTTTATGCAACAAATGAGACCAACAGAATATCTAACACAGTGCTATCAGGATTATATGTTTCTATATTCTGTTGTCCATTGTGCTAAGGTTTAACAAAGTCACCTGCCAGCTTACTTTAGATTGTTCTGTAGTGTTGGGTTGCCTCACCTTTAAAAAAGTATTGATAAAACATCAATAAATCTTCTTGTGACTTGCACAAAGAAACTGAAAAACGTTTTTTCAAGGGAGAATCATCTCAGACTGTTAATCTGAGGTAAATGCTTAGATAGCAGTCTTAAAACAGATAAAGAAAGGTCATGTTGAATGAGTCAAAGTAACTCTTATAATAGACTGAATTCCGTTTTAACCCCTTACAGCATTGTGATCATGATGGCGCCAAAGCAACCCAATTTGTAGTGAGAAAGTAGCACATAACCTAACCCTAAAGATGATCAAACTTATTGAATTTAATGTATGACATTAAAAATAGATACAAGATTATAATTTACCAGAAACATCACATAACAAGTCATATCAGCCAGATGTACCTGCCTCAAAGCATCGAATAAGACAACATCCTTGAGTTAGAAGACAGTTAGAGGTCTTTGACAGAAGATTATTAGAAGTTCCTGGACTCTTTGGGCTGATGCAGGTTAGATGCTATTCAGGGAGCAGACCTAGAATAGACATATAAACAGAATACACTGATTTGTAGTCTATATGCAGACACACTCATGCAGCAAACAGTGATGAGAGAGAGCTTTAAAGTGAGTGAACCTCAGTGTATGTAGAGACATTATCATAATCAAGAACAATCATTAAAGTAGCAGTAACCACTATCTTTCTGGTCTCAATATGTGAGATAATGAAAAAAAAAGAGACAAACTACCAGACTGTCAACATGAATGACTCTGAGGAAACACTATTTAATCCAGAGTTTTTTTTAACTGATCCGTAAAATCTGTAAAACAGCCTCCTGACACTGATCTGCAAAGCAGCAGAGCAGAGGAGACATTATGATGGGTTCAACACTGATCAGCATGCATCCATCCGATTCAGATTGACATCATGCCCGACGGGGCTCCTCTCTCCACTGCTGAGGAAGCACAAAAATTAGCAAAGAGCAAGACAGAGCCCAGTCAAACATTTAAAGCCACGGCGATAGGCTTGCCTTTCACTTTTTCTACCAAGAGACATCTCCTCTACTTAGTGGGAACACAAACCTGAGGAAGTGAGCCGGAGAATGAGCCAATTAAAGGTGTGGGGCAAGAAAACAGCTCACTGTAATGAAGTATGTTTTTTATTTCTTTTTTTTTTCTTTTTTCTACATATACACCATTAGAAACAGCAGAGTTTTACTTCCTTGAGATTTAGTTCTTGAGGACAAACCATACAAACATAGTTATTGCATGATTTATGTTCATATAAGCAGCTCATCACTTTGTGCCTCATGGTCCACCAACATTTTACAAAAGCAGGAAACCAGAGAATGGACATGTCAGGCTTGGGTGTAATAACAGATCAACAGCGCCCTCTACTGGCAAGAATATCAAATATCAGAAATACATTGAACTCTCAGATATGTACACTTGACATTATACCTCTGCTGCAGGATCAATAAAATGGAGCTGTATTAGCTGCAGACTGATTTTAATGAGGACACATGTTAAAACTGACATTATATCAAAGTATAACATTTAGTGTCTCTGCATTTTTTTTTTTTTTGAACAAAGGTGTTTATTTGCCGTTATGTTGCAATACAATTACAAAGTATAAGACATCTCTCAGCAAGCAAACAAACCACAGTAAAATAATTATAAGAACATAGAGCATCGACACAGAACGAAAAACTAGCGCACAGAAAACAAACAAAAGAAAAAAAAACAAACAAACAAAAAAAAAAACACGGCAAACATTTTAAGTAAATTGATACTTTGAGTGGGAATACACATGGGGCAGGCTTCGAATTAGGAGTTTACAACTTCGTCTTGCTCAGTGTTAGCATAGCTCGTATGTTTACCCTCATATAGAAAGCTTAAGGTATTGTATCAGTGGGGCCCAGTTTTTTAGAAATGTCTCTGCATTTTAACTCAAATATCAAAAGTAATTGCTTACCGGACAAGATCGATAAACACCTGAAAATGATAAGAAAGATAAAAGTAGTGAGTAAAACATGGAAAAGGCAATATAAGTAACTCTGCCAGCTGTAACCTGTGCAGTACTTACACAGCCTACCAGATTAGTCTTTGTCCGCTCATTCCCTGCAGTATCGGACAAAGTTTGAATAACAGACAGTGAAAAAAATAAAAATAAAAAAACAACGGGATGTGTTCAACATTTTAATTTTTCTTTTTAGTGTTATATATCCACTATTCCCAAGTCAATCAATGAAACTCATGTGCAAGCTCACAGTGTTATCTGGGTTAGCTTGTCCTTCAGAGCATGACCAGTTCATGGTAGTGGAAAAGAACCCCGGTACTGAGAAACAGAGTCAATACAAAGTTAGTCATTAAAATCACAGATGTGATTAGGGAACAAACCTCTGGAACTGACCTCATGCTCTTCTGTCAAATAAGTGAATGAAACAGGAGCAGCTCCGGCATAACAGTTTTCATGACTAGCCTTGCGTTTGTTGTTATTGTGCAGACAAAAACACAAAATAAGATACAACAAAAAGCTGTGACATTTTTGATATTTATAGAAGTGAAATAAAACTTGGGTTATCCTGTTTTGCGTTGACTACTCAAAAGGTTAAATCTAAATATTAAAGCTGCATTAATTTGGTCAAGGGCGGGGTGAACAGGGTTCATCTTATCTCTTTACCACTGTAAATCAGATAAAATCTAAAGCAAATGCACTCAATGACTGGACCCTGACTTTAGTAAACACCAAAGGCCACTTACACTGAAAACCTTAATATGTTCAAAATACTATATATACATATGTTATATGTTTGAAATAATCAAGGTATAAGTGATACAATTATCAAATTTTAAAAGAGTAGCTTAAACTTTAAATGTGCATTAATACCTCTGTATTTTCATTTTACAGCCTCTTTAATGACCTTATCAATAACAGAGCCAGGTTATCACATTAAAATGATCACAGCTGTTAGTGGTTGAAAACACAGGGGGCTACTGTGAGTAAAATAAGATCAGACATTCAGCCTGAGTTTGATGGACACAAATGGGTTAACTGTACAGCAAACCTGACTTTAAAAAAAAGCTTGAGGGGACTGGCAGACTTTCCATTCAGCACACAAACAACTGCACAAGGTTCAGTCATTCAGCTTTTCACAGCCTGTTCATTCGGAAACAAAGACCTCCTGGATGCAAGGTAAGTACTGGAAAACGACAAAATGTAACTGCATTTTTGTGACTGCGTGACTTTGAAATAACAACTGGTTGTCTGTGTTGAATTGGTGTTTCTTTACTTCTCACAGCTGGAATGCACACCATTGTGTTGTTAGTGCTGTGGGTAGTGGGAACATCATTGGTGTTGCCAGACCCCGACACAGCAGGAGCAGAGAAAGTGGTCGAAGAGCCTATTCCATGTTCTAAAGGATGCACCTGTTTCCATGATGACTACAGTTTGGAGCTCAACATGTACTGCAGTACTCGGAACTTCACGCAAGTCCCACCAGACATGCCCACAACAACCCACTCGCTCTGGTTAGACGGCAACTTGTTTACCACGCTACCTGCATCATCCTTCAAGGATCTGTCCAACCTGGACTTTTTGAATCTCCAGAGCGGCCAGCTGGTAACGATTGACCCTCAGGCTTTCAAAGGACTTCGGTCACTTGCACACATCCACCTGGAGCGTAATCGCCTGAGGACATTACCGGGTACAATCTTCCAGAACACACCTTACCTTGCATCGCTGAGTTTGCATAACAACCAGCTCTCTCGTATTGAGGACAGACTGTTTGCAGGACTCTCGCACATGTGGCTTCTCAACCTAGGCTGGAACTCAATCGCTGTTCTTCCTGAGACGGTTTTCCAGGACCTACATGGTCTACGTGAGCTCATTCTTGCAGGAAACCGTCTTGCCTACTTGCAGCCACAGCTTTTCCAAAGTCTTGTTGAGCTCAAAGAGTTGGATCTGACTGGAAATTACCTCAGGGTCATCAAAGCAAATGTGTTTCTTAAACTCACTAAACTGCAAAAGCTCTACCTTGCCCAGAACCAGATTGTGACCGTGGTGCCAAGAGCGTTCGGTGGCATGAAGTCACTCAGATGGCTGGATCTCACCAACAACAGACTGACTTCTCTTCATGATGACACCTTCTTGGGTTTGCACAGTCTTCATGTTCTGCGCCTTTCCAACAACTCCATCACCGGAATCAGACCCAGGACTTTCCGAGATCTGCAGTACTTGGAAGAGCTACGACTCAGCTACAACAGAATTCGAGCCTTGGGGGAAAGGATCTTTGAAGGACTTGGTCATCTGGAGGTTCTAGAGCTTGAGCACAATCAAGTTCAAGAAGCCCAAATGGGTAGTTTCACAGGCCTCTCTCATGTTGCTGTCATCAATCTGTCTGGGAGCTGCTTTCAGAGTCTGCCAGACCAAGTGTTCAAAGGTCTGTCCAAGCTCCACAGCCTCCATCTTGACAGAGGTTGCCTAACAAGGATCACAACTCACGCTTTCACTGGACTCTCGGGTCTGCGGAGGATTTTCTTGCAGCACAACAACATCTCAGTGGTGGAACGGCAGAGCTTTGTGGACCTAGTGGGCCTACTGGGACTGGACCTACGCTACAACAAGTTGGAGGTTCTCACACCTTATACATTCTCAGGCCTTCAGAATTTGGAGTACTTGCTGTTGTCCAACAATGAATGTCGACAGTTTTTGCAGAACGGCACCAGGCAGCTACTTCCAAGACTACGCTATCTGGACCTGAGGGAGAATGTCTTAACAAGCATGGTCCCTGATTTTCCAGAGAGCATGGAAAAGCTGTTGCTGTCTGGGAATCGTTGGAAATGTGACTGCGGTGTCTTGCCACTTAGAAACTACAGCCTAAGAAATCCATCAGTGATACCTCGCCAAGTGGAGACCCATGCAGAGGGTGAGGAACCTGACACAACAATCACCATATACAACAACATCACATGCACCAGCCCACCACGTCTAGCTGGTCAAGACCTGCGGGACATTGATAATGAACACTTCCAAAGCTGCTGAGGAAATATGCATCGATGTGTTTGTGTCAAAGAGAATATTTTTGTTTACTTCTTATAGTTTGAACAATTTAGATTTATTTTGATTTAAGGATTTTGAACATAAATAAAGTAGGTTGTCATCAATGAAACTCTTTCATGAGGCACTTTTTTATGTTGTGGGTGGTGTAAAACATATCTCTTTCTCTCTTGATGTCGATTCAGTTTTTTGTTCTACATATCCAGATAAATCCTTTTCAGATCAGATTTGAAGATAAACTTTCTGTGAACAGACCAAGAAGGTTTTTTTTTGTGTCTTTTTAGAGTCATATTTGTATGCTGTAACGTCTAATTTTTGTCAAATAATTGTAAAGTGTGGGCTCTCTGTGGAAGGAATTTAACATTTAACTCTCAAATAGTTTGAGATATTTTCCTCCTTATATTTGAGTGTAAAATGTTTGCCACATTGTAATGATGTTTTATGGTTTCTATTTAGAGACACAGTTCCACAGGATATTGTAAAGTAGTTAAAATTGAAGTGTGAAGCATTTAAAACAATGCTTCTCAGAGTGTGTGGTGTGCCCTGCAGGTGGGGAATGGAGACATGGCAGGTGGGATGTGAAAACTCCTCTTAAATGCCTTTCTGTATTTTCAATAAATACAGTACATTCACTGTAAATGAATTACCCACACACAAAATAATAATAAATAGCCTACATGTAGCTGAAATTAAAAGATCCATAAATTATTAGACAACATTAGGTAGGGAGAAAAACGTAATGTGGAACTAAAGTGCAAAAATAACGATTTACTTTGAAACATGATGTTCCTTGTTTCTTGTTAGTTCAATCAATTTGACGATGTGTAAGTTGTCAGGATTTTTGTTTGGGCAATGGGCGCAACTGGAGCTTGAAAATTCCGCTTTGTTCAACCAATATTAGTTTTTTTGGACTGACCAAAAAAGTTTGAGAACCACTCATTTAAAACAAGTATGGGCTAAAAACACAAGATAGGACAGCAGCAGATGGGAAACCATTAAACAGTAATAGCGAAATTACTTTTGGTGTTCAAGTATCCTCAACAATAACATTTCACAGCTGTAGAGTAGCAAATAAGCCAGGGGCAATAAATACGCTTCCGTTGATCATTTACAAGACTTGAGGGTGAACAAACATTAAAAGTCAGAATGAAATGTTTGTCCAACTCGTACAATGAAATCTCTGAAACAGGTTATGTTGTGTGAACTGTTGAGTGTAATGAAGTTGTCTCTGGAAAAATAAACTACACACAAAGTGTTTAAATGGCAGTACATGTTTTTTTTCTTTATATCTGTGGTGTTGGTTACATAAAATAACATTGTCACACAGCCACAGAGGACAGAGAGGGCTAGAATGCAGTACCCACTCACAACTGGCTGCTACATACTCTAAACACGGCATAGTGACTATCCATCTTTCACCTGACAACTGAGCAACGAACACGTGCCTGCCTGAACAGAGACGCTTTCTGTTGCCAAGGGTAACCACAGATCTCTGGATACTGCAAGCTGCTGCGCACAAACAGTGGGTAGCCTTTCATAAAATAGCTCCTGCATATGAGTTGCAGGTGTAGTCTTAGTGTTATGGACCTGAATCAATTATTGTGCTGGGATTCAATCCGTGAGAAGGTGAGACCAGGTATTCCAACTGTTGACTGGGATTCTTCCTTGGTATGATGTATGTTTTTTCAAAAAGGTCTACTATAGGCTACATAAAACAAACAAACAAACAAACAAGGAGGACTCCTCTGGTGAGTGGTGTGCTCAGATTTTACAATCTTCTACTGTGGGCCAACTTTCACACAGGCACAGGACAAGATCAGCAAAGATTTGAGGTGCAGCTTTGTCTGCAGGAGGCCCTGAAATCAGTGCAAACAAACAAAAAGAAAATAGTAGCTTTGAATAAGACTTCCACATATATCTTTGTAATGTCTGAGTCTTTTTCCCCTTCTTCTTTATAAACACAGAGACATCCACAGGTTTCTGTCTGAGACCATATCCCATCTCATTGCCCGATGGCTTCCTCAGCTGAACCTTCAATCTTACAAAAAAACATTAGCTTGTAATTTTGTATCTTTTCTAGCAAACACACACACACTCGCACTAACTGTGTTTGTTTACTGTTTTCTATTCCCTTGGCTTTATAATGCAGCTTAAAAATCAGACATTTGGTAGCACTCCAGGGTTTTACTGCCAGATGCTGTAATGTCAGGGGAATGTTTGTAAGAGGAGAGAAAACAAACCTGGAGCTGCACACATAGGCAGACATGTTTGTTTTCAAGAGCTGAAATTCACAGAAGTGGTTTTTGGTAAAGACTCAAGTGAAAAGCTGGACACTTACTCTTGTTTTTCTTTATGATGGGTGTCAGTTTCTCTTGGGATAAAAGCCGTCTTGTCATAAATACAGTGTTGGTTCGATGTGCTTCCAGCATCCCAGCTCTACCTCTCCGATTTGATAAACAACACCATCTATAATGCAACTTTGACAGTAAAGATTACATTTTGTCTGTATATTAGAGTATCCCATGATGAAGTTTCCATTTGTTTTAACACCACTGAAAGAATCTAAGGCCCAGAAGCTCACTCTGTGGAACCAGACTTGGGTTTCCACATCATGCTCCACAGCTGCGACTCATTTCATATTTTTGGTAAGCACTAAATCCTCGGGCTAACACTTGGATACTCCTTCCCTATTTAAGTTTTAATGTTTCTATTGAGTTCAGAGTTTGCAGGCTCCTGTGTGATCCTCTCCCAACTTAAGTGTTCCTCCACCCCTGACATGGACCAGGTGGTGAGCTTGGCCTTGGTTGGGAAGGACTTGAGCCAAAGCCGGAACATCCTACACAGAGTGCTGACAGATGGGGCAAAAGGTGGGTGAAGTTAAGATAGCACCGCCTGCATGTTGGCAAAAAACAAAAGATAAACACACAACCACCTACACAAGTAAATCAATGACCAGAGAAGAGACTTGTGAGGGAATATTTTTTATTAGTTTGACAATGGATTTCAGCTGCATTGACCTAACCTCAAGTTCAGGAGCTGACTCCATATTCAATGACAATATTGTGGACAACCTGTCCTCTCCTGTTCAAATGTCCATTCTCAGTGTGCATGGAGGCTTTTTCTTATCTGAAGAAGCTCCTACCTTGTGATTATCCTGCCATACTCATTTAAAGGCCCTGTGAGGAATTTTAGAAAGTAATGGAGTAGACTGATACGAATGGCTGATGCCTTTGAGAGGCCTTTAAAGCAAGCAGGACCATCAAAAAGACAGCTAATCATTATTCTTCTTCCTCCTACTACTCTCTACTTCCCACGTCTCTTTTTAGCTGTCCTATCAATTAAGGTGTATACAAATAACCAAAAAGTAGCATTTATATATAGTTTCTAATTTTAGCATTTTTAACTTGCAATATAATGACAAACTTATCTTAATATAAACACTCCCCCCCTATAAATATACATTATATGTTTTTTTTTTTTATCTAAAATCAGACTCAAGTGAACATTTTGACTTACATGTCTTAGTTGGACTTTATTTGCTCTCTCTGAAGATGCTGATTATCTTAGAAAGGATTATTATGTGACATGGTGGCCCTGAAGGTCAGTAGCACAAATACATCAGGAAGGTAATAAAAACATTTGATAAAAAACCAATGCATTTAACAAAACATGAAAGTATTCCGTATGAACAAAAGTATACAAACACAAATCCTAAAAACAAAATAAAACAATAGGAAATGGAAAATAATTCACTGACTAAAATATTTTCAATTTTCTGAGATATTTTTGTTTTCAAAGTATATTTTGTGTTTTTACAATTTATTTGTATCAAAACATGTTTGTGTTTTCAAAATTTGGGTTTTAAAATACTTCTGTTTTCAAACAGAATTTTCCCAGAATTTACGTCTTGAATATTTGTTTTAAAAATTAATTTGTGTTCAAAAGTACTTTTGTTTTTAAAGTGTATTTCTACTTCTAAAATAATTTTGATCTTTTGTTTGTTTATTAATATATATATATATATATATATATATATATATTGTGTTCATGTATTATTGTTGAGTTTTTTGGGGGGATTCATATTTATTTTTTTTGCCTTTACATTTAATGAAAAATAGATGTCTTCCTGAAATATTGGTGCCATTGACCTTCAGGGCCATCATATGGTGAAGCGGTGATAAAATTAAGTTCTGTTTTGATCCACAGATGCAGCTCACTGTAGACCCATTCCAGGACTCTTTAGCCTCTGTGGAGTGTGAACTGAGATGCACATGGGCCCCTAAAGCTCATGAGTGTCGTACACTTTCCCTGAACTCTGGTCTGTATTTTTATTAAATACTCACTTTAAACTTGCTGATAGCTTTGAATACGACACACTTTATTATTTGTCATGTAAAATGCGTCCAGTTATATAATCATTTATTGCGATGTTGGCAGTGCCTGCTCTGATATTGACATTGAAATATGACTCAGTTCCCGATGAACTTTGCAAACCAAACAGAAACAAATGTTCTGTTTTTGCTTGTTTGTTGGTACCAGGGTCCCTGATACAGAGAGCTTACTGGCAGACAACCTGTCTGCTGATACCCTTTGATTGCTCCACCCCTCCAGCAGGAGCAGCTGCTGAGGTCAGACTGCTATCTGGTGGCAGGGAAGATGAGCATGCTGGATAATGAGCAGAGGAAACATATTGCTGACATAGTGCAAGTGTCATCAGGTCCAAATGCAAGGGTGAGGGGCCTGGACTTGACACGGGTGCTTTAGAGTGGATTTCCTCACAAACAGAGCAATCAGTGTTTTAGTTTCGCTGGTCTCTCTCTCTCTCAGTTTGACATGGCACCATGTCTCATTGTGTTGAGCTGCTAGAGTAAAACAAAGGGTTGTCATGTGTCTAGTTGTGTTTATACATCCAATAAAACCACCTGCTCCTGATCTCAGCAATATCTAAACAATATCTTCTTCTCTTTATGCATTGCCACCTCATCTGCTCAGACACATGCAGCATTTGAAGAAGTTTTCATCCTCCTAAAAATGTTTGAGACAAAGACTATCCACACACTTCAGATGAAAAATTATTTTAATTCTCAAGATGATAAAAATAATTTTGTGAAATCTGTAAACCATTGCATAACTGTAGTGTAACAATTTAACAAGTGTTAACAAACTAGAAATACACTACAGAAAATATGCGGTACACAATCCTCAATGTAGAAAAAGAAAATATCTAGAATTCTAAGACTTGCACCTATTTTTGTGTTCACAACACAAAAAATATCAATATACCAACAGGATCATTTCTACGGTTATCAGTAGAGAATTTCCTAAATATTCATACAGCTCGTCACAAAATATGGGACATATTTTTATTCTATAAATAATATCTAATCCCACTGACATTGAGTAAATAGATTGATGAAATGCAGTTTCCTCAGATTGAACACGTTCTCTTTTCACTCACTGTATTACCCTGAGAAAAGTACATTTCTGTCCTTAGATTTCCACATTAGGCTGACAAATAGAAACTTGAAAACTTGCATTTGTTTTAGTTCTAATAAATTTTATTGAATAGCAGTTTACAACTAGATGCTACATCATAATGAATTAACTGCGCTCCATAATATCCAGTGACCTATTCATTGAATATCTAATTTAGAACAATACATTCAATATTTCAGGGCTTCAATGTTAAAATAACATTTCTACTGAAATTTTCTAAAGTCTATGGAACAACTGGTTCCACATTCAGATTATTAACCTTTGACAACACTTGTTGTACTTAATTTGAACAGCTCCATATATCATACTCATATACATGTACAAGATTGCATAAATCTTCAGGCTCCATTTTCATAATATTAAAAACAGAAAGACAACACAACAACTAACAATAATGCAAAATAGATTTAACTATTCCAATGCAGAGCATAATGATACATCTACTACAGATCATTTACAAGATTCTTCCCATTTGGTGCTTTTTTTCCTTATAAACTAAAGCTTTTTGGTGCCTAATGACGAATTGAGATCAGATAGTTCAATATATTGCTGTTTTTCTCTGGATAAAATGGCAAATACAGACTGAGACAGACAATTATCAGTCATCCATATCATTTGCTTCCCTCTGTTGTGACTTTTTTTCCTTTCAGCTTAAGTGGCCCGGGTATTTCGTTTTCACATTGTGGTCCATAAAAACACTTTAAGGCACTGGAATTTTGATTCTAATTTAGCTGATTAGATTTTTGTCATCTGTCACAGAGGCATATTCTCTTGAAACCAATCGACATTGAGTGTTCAAGGCACAGACTGACCGGAGAGTGTAATTGGTCCATAATAAATTGAACAAATTTCATGTAAAATGTAAAGAAATAGAAGCTGTGCTTACCATGTGAATGTTTCATTCCTTTTGTTAGTAAATGTTTCGGTAGACCACTAGAAAGACAGCGGGCCGACAAAAAAAATCACAGATTTAATCAGGTCTGTATCTGCCATTAACGTTTGTCACAATCATTATCTGTCCCCCCCGTAATTTTACAAAAACTCAAAACTAATTTGGACCGCTGCTTTAAGAAACGAAGAACTGAGTCAGATAGAAAGAAAGCACCTTACAGTCACTGTAGGCCAATCAGAACAGCATATAATGCATAACCATCAACTTCCAAGGTGATTGAGATTATGTAGTTAAGCAAAATCAACAAAAACAAAATCAACTTCAAAACACAACTGTGGTGAAGTTTTTATGGCCACTTCAGAAGCACAAATGTCATCACCTTTGACATTCCTTCACTGTAGACAACAATTATTAAACCGACACTGAGTCCTCGCTTAAGGTCGGCATGTGCTCGCCAGTATTGCACAAACCGCCATAAACGTCAATGTATACTCCACACAAAATCAACTATACAAATACATTTTTTTAAGGATCTGACCCATGCATTTTTGTTCATTTGTGTATCAACTCACTATAGCTAATTTTAGATAGAAAAAAAGCCATTAATTACTGTTAATGACCGATCACTATTTAAGGTTCTAGGTGATTACCTTTTAAATTGTTTTAGGTTCACACTAAAAGAAAACAAAAGGGTGAAATGTAGTACAAAAGAAACGACAAGAGTACAGGTCTTTGGTAAAACTGCAAAAAATGGGCTCTAGTCCATTAATGTTGTGGCATAGTCCTGTTGTTTTACTCACTACTAGGACACTCTGTATGTCCCGCTAAATGAAATATCAAAACAAAACTCCAGGCCTGCCAGTGACAAAGCCGGACTCTGCTCTGACCTCTGCTATATTTTCGACTGGATGCATTCTGTCCACATGTACAGGCTGATCAGTCCTGCACCATAGCGATTATTTAGATTCTCTTCAAGGGTGAATTTTCCCTTCAGAATACATTTTTGGACAACTATGAGAACACCACTTTGGTTCGTTTTTAAGATTATCACACTAGACATCATTCACTGAATTGGCTTCACAGGCAAAATAAAATAAACCAAAGGGTCCTGTGAAATTAGCTGCACTGTACACTGTCCTCCAGTGTACGGGGGGGTAAAAGAAGTCCAACATAAATAACTTGAATCGATTCAAAATAGAGGGACGATCTACAGCAGTACAGGTCTGTGACATCTTTCTAAAGTGGTTTACAAAAGAACTGAAATTTTGACTCCAATGGATTTACAAATGAAGAGAAAGATCCATCAAATTCAATAACAAATGAGTTGGAAATCTGAGCTGTGGATGCACAACATTCAAACATCTAAATGTTCAACAAGAAACTACATTAATACCTTTTTCCAGTAGCAGCGAAGCTTGCAGAAGTTAGCCTTTACTACACTAAATATAACTCAATACAAATACTCTGGCAGTGAGACAGTGCGAACTTTTTTTTTATCTTTTCTTTTTTTGTCGTTTTGTAGCTGGTTTATATATCGCAATAACATGCAATACCAGAAGTATTTAGCCTGCCTTTAATGCTGTAAGATAATCATGAAAACGCTAAAATACCATAACTTTTCTGGATATTTTCCTCTGAGTTGCTTAGTTGTCATATATGTGAATGTAAACAATGCATTTCCCCATATTTATAAGTAGCAAAAAGGTGTACCTGGAGATACATGATTTTCTATAGAATCTTAAAGCAAGAATAAAAAGATTTTTTTTTTTTTTTAAACACAGTAGAAGGTCATTTCAATTAGACGAACCAAAGCACAAATCCTATGCAAAAATCTGACTTACAAGTTTTCTTCATTCACTGCAGATTTATCACAATAAAACTAAGTAACTGAAATGTTTCAAAAGCATGTTGAAACTATGTTGCTATACAAATCCATGTGTCCTATGTTTGCATACTCCCAAACATTAAATTGAAAAAACTAATTTCAAAAGACTGAAGCTGCACCAAAAGAGCACCACGACCGAGGAATGAGTGGGTGGGTATCTGAAGGAGACAAGGGCCGGTAAATTTCTAGGTTTGTAGTCAGGACACAGGCACTGACAATGTTTGATCTGAACTATCCTCAGCAGAAATACTCAACGGGATTGGGCCAAATACACTGGCAAATATTTAGATATACTGTATATACAAATAGTCATAAACATATCAATGCTTCTGCTAAGTTAAAAGATGTGACGCAGAAACCTGTGTGCACAAGCTTCGACTACTTGTGTTTGCTTGGACAATTCTACACATGACCTTTTCGACTAAGGCAAGGCACTTTCGAGTTAAGAGGCCGATATGTTTAGGCTAGATTCCTACAAAAATCACCATTTCAGGCTTTTAGCAAATACAATACATGCTTCTCCTAATGGCTATATAAATCTCTACAAAACAAAACTAACTGATTGAAGAACAGCCTGAACATGTAGCATGTGCCTTACTGATATTACAGCTGCTGGTTATGCCTAAAATGCATTTTTCGTTAGCACTTATTTGATTGAAATTTTATAAATCTAACTATGAAAGTAGAAACTATTAAGTACTTTGTCTATTAAATCTGAATAATATGTAGAACCATGCCATGATTTAACAATAGGAAACATGAAATATTCCAACGATGTTTCACAGTAGACACCAAAAGCTTCAGATATTAGCTTATATAGAGAAAAAATGATAAATCTAAAAAGGAAAAAAAAAGACACAAAAGAATACCTACAAAGCAGCTTAAAGCAAATTTCTATATACCCTTTAACAAAGTCCCAGGTCAACAAAGTGCTTTAGTAAGAAATCAAAGTTCCTCAGAAAGTTGGTCAAAATTAAGATGCTTGACTGCTTGGAATAAAAAAAAAAAAAAAAAAAAAAAAAGAGAAATTTGGTGTTTTCTTTAAGAGGAACACAACAAAATGCATTAATTGGCTTCTTCTCATGCAGACTTTTTTAAATTTGCTGATTCACTTTTTACAATTTTTTTGTTCTCATCCCTCATTCTGTTCAATCTTCAGATAATAAATCAGGACAAAGAGCTTCTGACCATTCGAGCGCTTTTTGGTGCAGTCAAGTTCAACAGTTGGGTGTTACATCCATGTCATCATTATAAGATTCATATTCCAAATCCACACATTATTCAGAGTCAATCAACAATTTTGATTGGCTTATAGAGAAATCTGGGATTTTGCTGCATTCCTCTTTAACAAAGAAAACATCCACTTTTAGTTTTGCTCATTTTATGTTGATCATCATGACTCATGCTCACGTTCAAAACTAACAACACACACAGCTCTAGTAAGGAGGAGAAAATGTCAAACTGACATTTTTTCTCTACATTATCATGTTTTGGGCCTGATCTGTGATTTTCAGGCTGTCAATTAACCCCACTGTTATTTTCTTAAAGGATGCCGTGTTGTTTTAAAAACGTATCCAACCTCAGAGTTACAGTTTCAGCACATTCAGTGTTCAGTGTATACACGTTTTTCATGTATCTAATTTTAAAAATAGTGCTTTCTCTTTAAAATAAAAATACAACAATCACACGGATTCATTTTTGTTTTGTAAGTGGAGAATAACATCGGGATGAAATGCCCTTAAATTTGCTCCAGCTGGACTCTGGACTCTTCAGTGGGGTGAAATGATGCTGCTTGTTTTTTTTGTTTTTTAAAAAAAATATCTCACTTTTTGTTTGCTCTTAGAGCAGTCTTAAACGTTTGCAACGTGCATTAGCAGTTTGTGTTTGGTCTAAATTAAATGAAGAGCTGCGTTACTAAGGGCTGAGTATTTCAGCTTTCAGTATGACATATATATATCGAGTGGTGGCTGTATAAAGAGAGCTATGTGGTTCACATAAAAAGAGCAAAACCTACAAGAGCTAAACCCCCTCTCTTATTTGTAATACTATTAGTATTGTCAGTCAAACATCATCTAATTTATACTTAATCTAATCACTGTATGAAACAGACATTGCTATTTAGAAAACATAGTATATCTATGGTTACTTTTTCAAAAGGGCTAACTCTTTAAATAGTACCTTGAGTAATTATACATCACCACTTCAATATTTTCGATCTACAGTAGGGACATTCGGTTTTACTAGGTGCACAGTTCTCACAAAGTACATAATGTTGGCAAGGCTGCAGAACAATGCAACGATCATGCTTTTGGCAAACTATACATTTCTTTGACTGAAGCATATATATTACCTGTTGGGGGAGAAAAGAACGAGTATCAGCTGCAACTTAGGGAAACAGTTCATGCAGACTTTTCAGATATGCATGCTTGATGACAAAGCGTGGATCTGAATGCTAGCCTGACAAACTGTTTTTGTTTTTGTTTTGTTCTGTTTCTTTTCGGTTTTTTTTTTTCTTAAACTATGTACATGCTACTGATGAAATGCTGTGTGTGATCTAGTCTTTCTTACCCCGTCTATAAGGTCTAGGTCATTACGCAGCTGACTCTGGATGGAGTGGAGCTTTGACAAGGGGAGCTGCTCCAGCTCTCCATAGCTACGTAGGAGGGGTGTTCCAGGGGTGCGGCAAAGTGCGTCAAAGTCCCCTTGGAGCTCTTTTAGCTTGCGATCCGTCTCCTCCCACTTCTGTTCTGCAAGCTGACGCTCCACCTCGGCCGTCTTTGCTTGTTCCTTTGCTTCGTGAGCTTCTTTCTGGCAAGCTTCACAGGCCTAAAAGAAGGTCAGATCTTGTCATTGAAGACACGGTCATTTTAAAACACGCGCTGCTATGATTTTTCATTCCTTTACTCACTCACCTGTTTGACCTGTTGCCAGGCCTCCTCCCACTGTTTGATTTTCCTCTTGGCCTCATCCAGCTCTCTGAAAAGGCGGGCCAGATCAGAGCTGCTGGTCGCGGAGGTAAGGCTGCTGAAAACCGGAGACGGACTTGGAGAGAAGCTGCCACTTACGAAATCCCAGATGTTGCTTGCTGCTCCATTTAAACCTACAAGTACCAAGCAAAGAAGTCAACCATTAGTCTTTCAAATCTTGATTTATAGAGTATTTCTGAGTAAAATGAATGAAATGTTCAAGTTATTCTCAATGACATGTTTAATTGAGATCTAAATCTGTATCTACAGACTTCCCAGCCCATGAGGAGCCAAGCGTCTGACGCTATCGGCTCACCCAAAGAGTTCTGTGAGGAGGAGGTGGGTGTTCCCAGGAGGCCGTGCTCTTGCTTAGCCAACATGTTTGAGGGTTGATTTTGCTGCGATACCGTCCCAGACAGCAGGGACTGCGACAGAGACTGAGAGAGCGAGCTGAGTGGGGAGGTGGAGAGCGATGAGGAGGAATTAAAAGAGGATGATCGAGCCAAGGAGCCGGGAATGTTCACAGGGGCTGACCCACCAAGCACTCTTTGACCTGTGGGGGGAAAGCAGACAGAGTTCATGCTTTTCCTTTGTTTTTTTAAAAAATACGTGTTTAAAACCTTACCAGCACCTTTAAAGTTGGAAAAAGAAAAAAGTCAGGTGTCCTTACTTGCCAATCCCACGCTGTTATCTTGCTCCTCTAACTCCTTATCAAGAGATGCGACGTTGATGTCGCTGAAGTTGAGGTCCAGAGCAGATCCTAAGGGAAAGCAAAACACATCTGGCTGACATTTAACAACAGATCGCAGAGAGGTGGTACCCAGAGAGGCCGGTTAACAGTTAACTCTAAATACACATACCTATGACAGACTCCACTGTGTTGCTCCCTGGGTAAAAAGGAGTGGCTTTTGCATTCATCGTTGATAAGGTGGTGGGTGAGGAACTGTCAGAGCCGATACTAGAAGCCAAGCTGGATGTTATACTGGAGGTAAAGCTTGATGCCAGAGGGTTCACCGCAGAGAATACAGTATTTTGAGTCTGGGAAAAGAGCAGCAGGTATTTTCTTTAGGATAGTCATAGTAAAGGTTACTAAATTACACAAATAAAAATACATTTTTAGGTTGAGTTCAGCGTTTTCAACAGAGTTTAAGTACCTGCTTGTCTTGGTCCATCAGTTTCTGATCCATCTGCCCCTTGTTCTTTATCTATAAAAGTGAAAATTCACACAAACAGAACATTTCAATAACCAAACAGCAGTTTTCTAATCCCAAAAAAGTCAGAAAGTCACATTTTTTCTGTCATTAATTCACTATCTGGTGTAAAACTCTGGAGCAGCAATTTCTCCTGTTATTGACGTATCTTTCTAAATCAGTTATCCTTACTTTGGGATTAGTCACTAAAGGAATAACCCAGATTTTTCTCTTTTTCTAAATTTCTCTGGACTAACAATATCAGAGTGGTATTAGATGCACCTAAGTTTTTGACACAGACAAACTCATGGCTGAGAATGTGCTGTGAAAATATATTCTGGCGGTGCAATTTCAGGATCAAGCCTTAGAGAATTACCTAAAATTTAGTTTTGTCAAACAGAAACTTAACAAATGACAACTATTTCCAAATAATATACAAATTGCATTAAGTGACAAAATGAAAATGATGTACAAAAATAATGAGTGGCAAATAATTAAAGTGATTAAAAATGCATGACAGCAATACAAAGAGAGTGGAGGCCTTGCTTATTTCTGTTTTAGATGTTGATACTAAAGCTTAGCAGAGCAGTAGGTGTACCTGATCCTCACGTTCAAAGCCCGGAGCTCTAGGATAGTTAGACGTCAGAGATGAGGCACTGGATGTGGTGGACTCTGAACATAAACTACTGTTAGTTAAGGATTTGGGCCTGCAGATGGATCCCACTGGGGATAACAAACTGTCGCTTCCTGAGCTTGGAGTTACAGTCGAGCTATTAGAACATGAAACCTGAGAAAGAGAAGTGAATGTGATCTTAATTAAATGATATTCAAAACAGGAAATGAAACAAAAAAATCACATTGGTGCCATCACCTGACATGATGAGCAGGCTGCGCTGAATACTTAGGAAAAAGAAAAAACCCTAACAGCTGTGATTTATCCCAACACCAGGGACAACCTCATCATTTACGCCATATCTAATCATTATGGTACACTTAACTCCTGCCTGTTGACACTGAGGCAAAAATCAAAGTTAATGTTACAATCCCAAGTTGGTCAACATTGTGGCAAATGTGTGAGAGTCATGGATAAGTGACTGCAATCACTGCTTTCCACTCTATTCAATTAATCCATATGCAGCAACAATATAAAAGCAGTGACATATGCTTCTTCTATTTTTATAGGGGGGTCAATCGAGTAAAAGTATTTAACATTAATAATCCTGCAGAGGTCCTGTTCATCTTATCTAATGTAGCCTTTAGTCTAAATGTTCAGTCTAACCTGGAGTGTTCATTTATAACCCGATGGTTGATAACCCAATGCTATAGGAGCTTAACCATTCTGTATAAATATGACTTTTTAACAATAAAACAAGCTTACACTAGCCTTGTGTTCTATGCGTCTACTTTTTATCCTCTTGAAATATTTTGTAAATTAACTTCATCAAATATACTTTTCATAGAGACACTGCCTCACTTCTTTTGAATAAAAGAATGAAATGTAAAAAAGTAAAGACAAAAAGTTGCAATGGGAATCCAAAAAAATAAAAAGTATGATAAAACAGAAATATGGGAGCACTGTACACATGTTTACATGTGAGTGGTTGATTTATTTTGGAAATTTAGTCGCTGTAAAACCGACTGAATCTTGTTTTTATTTTCAAAGTTTTGTCTATCCTTTAAGTCTTGTTTCAGTCGATTCGGATAAATCCACAATTGAAGGTCCAACAAAATAAGTGAAACCTACACTTCCTACTTGTCCATTGCTACTGGTTGCATTGGTGGTGGAGTTGCCTCCACTGTTCCACTCACTGACTGGACATTCAGAATACTGTTGAGGGCCCAGCTGAGACTGTGAACTGGACTGTATCACTGTTAGCAATGAGCTCATGGTCTCTTCTGTTGAGGGAATTCCTGAAAGCGTGAACAAGAGAAACGTTCAATTGTCACATTAAAAGGGAAAACAAAGAGGGAGATAACAGTCATCATTAACGAGTTAAAACCAATCAGAGGGTGCCACATGAACATTTTCACAAAATTCTTTCACACATGTTTGTAATATTTTAGCAAAACCAGACTGGATCATTTTCTTTACATTTTGACCCACGATCTGAACCATTTGGAAAAACGTTCACTTACTTTCTACATGTGCAAAAGCACAAAAGGGTCCTCTGGGACAGTATCCAGTTTGTCGCATATCATTACATTTGGTAGATTTGTAGATCTGAGCAAGAAAAACAAATCACAAACCAATGAGACACGAAGATGTACGTGCACAAGGAAGACTGTAGTGTGAATTAAAAAGTCATGAACACAACAATCGAACCTCAAAGACAGAACACCTCAAAATCTCATCTGTTTCAAAAGGGATTTCTCGCAGTCAGTGTTGCTCGGAATTCAAACCAACTATTGCGTTTAATATTCATCACTTTGAGAAGACGACCTATTTTCCACCTGAAAGACAGCAAACCCCACTCACCTCTGGGTGAAACTGCTGTTCAGTGCGAGAGTGACAATACTGGCAACTGTCTCCACTGTCACACTTGGAAGGCTCGCCCCATTCATCCCCATGTTTCACATTAGGACAGGGAGTGGACCTGCGTTCACAGAGTCAGACCTTCAGCTGACAGCAATCACATCACTTCAGCATGTTCATTTCTTTAACTTAACCTCTGTCAAACCTTACCTATATTTGAACTTCCTTGGGTTTCGTCTTCGGTCTCTGCTGTTGTGGTAGTGGGGACAAGCATAGCCCTGTCTGCATAGTCTTGGGGGCTTGGTACACTGCTCTGTTTTATAATTAGCTAAAACAAAGTTGGTGTCTGAAAAACAAGAGTTGTGTATTAACATCATTTCGGTTTTATTTCGCAAACAGTCAAGTGCGTCACTCTAAATGGCTAAAGCACTTCAGCGCAAGGTTGGGGGTAACTCACCTTGCCACCGGGGGTCTTCTGTGAGAGTTTTCTCAATCATAGCTTGGCTGGCTAACACACCCGGCTGCAGGTCAGGAATACCTTCCCCTGATCCCAGCTGTCCATTTTGAAGAGCCTCTTGTGCTTGGATCTCTCTGCACAGAAAACAATAGTCAGTTCAGGGTTCCTACACAGTTTCCATACTCTACTTTTCCATACTCTACTTTTTAGAATTATTTTTGGAAACATCTACTTTATTTTTCATTTTCCATACTTTTTAAGACCTGGAAACTGATCAAACTTATACCATACTTTCCATACTTGTGTAGGGACCCTGTTAGTTTTATTCCAGTTTTAATGTTTCAGTCGGTAAAAGTTCATCCAAAAAATTTCAAATTTTGAATATTTAACTGATAAACATTAGACCTGAAAGATGGTTTAACAGCATGTTGTTATAAATGATACACAAAGAGCATAAAAACCAACATTATTAAGTGTCAGCTGACTAACCCCGGCCATTTTAGCAGCACAGAGATCAAAAGGAGTCATTTGAATCTACAACAAGATAAAGGTTTTCCTTATTTAACAGAGCTACGCCCTCAAAGTTAATTCATTTAACACCAACATTAACAGCATACGTCTAAAATGACTGCTTCGTTCGTGCCATTGTGAGTCTTGTGAGTGAGCTTGGCAGTGAGCTTGGTGAACTTGGCAGGGAAACCGGAGGCCACTATTTGCTTTGTATGTCACCTGATATCATAGACTGGAGGTCGGAGATCATGTGGCCCGTGAGCAAACGCACAGTGGAGACCATTCTTCACACAATGCCCTCGAGCGTCTGTCTCATGGATGCAAGTGCCAGTCTTGTAGTAGCGGAGATGGTATTTGCGCTCTGTGTCACCAGTGGTCCGGTGTAAGTAGGGACAGCTAAGAAAGCAAGTACACAACAGTGAGATAAATCATCACTTGTTCTTAGAGAAATATCTGAACTCAGATTATTTGGCAGAAGATTTTACAAATGAAGAAAGCCCCTAGCCTTAATCTTAAATGTTCAATCTGAGTATACAAACAGCAATGTTTCAATCTGTATCTTCAACAAAATGCACTGAAGATGCTGCAGGCTGCTTATCTCACACAATGAGATCATTTTTAGCATGAAACAAGCAAACACTGCACTAAATCAGGTCGGAGCAGTCATTGTAAAACCACAGAGATTATAAATTATTGGAGTTGCACTCATTTCTAACCCTTAACATCATCTTATGAATCCAAGGATGATGCAGTAGCAATGTCTCAAGAAACATACGGCCAATAAGCCTGTTCAAAAACCCATTTTTCTTTTCTTGAGTAGCAACAGTTGCTATAGCAACACATAAGGTCATATAAAAATAGCAGCAATTGGCAGAGAAGGAACTGTAAGGATTGTGGTAGTCCATTTTCAATTAGCATAATAATCTATGTCTTTGCTTTTTTTTTTTTTTTTTTTTTTCATTTTTACTACTTTTGTACCTACTCCCTATTCTTTACATCTTCTCAAAGATAACTGGAGATATTATAACACTGGAGAAATGGGATGCCTACACCTTTATTACTTTGTTATTGGCTACAGTGTCCCCCTGTGATGTTTGGGAGCAAATTGTGCACTGTGTGTGCAATCAACAGATGACTATTATTTAATGTCTATTATTGGAAAATACCAAACAAGACTGGTGTCTTATTGTTAGTTCTTTTGCAACAAACCAGAGTGACATCGCTAAAAATAATAAGATAGTATGTATCGGAAACATGCTGCGGTCAAGCACAGAGAGACAGTCTGTAATTCAGTGTGTTATTGTCTGCTTTTGTGAAGACAGTGGCTCACTTCAGTGGTCAGCTGATATTTGTTTCTCAGTGGTTGATGCTGAAGCAGATTAAAAGACGGCAAATCAGTCAACAGACAATTTATAATGTTGATATCATGTTGTTTTTTTGCATTTGATAAGATATAAAATTTTAAAAATACAGACGAATGAGAAACAACGTTGCTGAATTGGGATCGACACTTTTAAAAATAGATTAAGACATAAAAATATTCTCAGTAAAATTTTCTCACAAAGGACTTTTGGATTTCTGTGCAGCCATCTGAAAATATTAAAATAGAAAAATATATGGTAAATATTTGGATTAAAACAAACCAAAAACATATTTATATACATATTTCAACATTCCTTTCAATTCCTCACTATCTAATGTACATGTTTATTTTAGCCAGACATACGATTTAGATATATTTTTGATTTAATAGAAATATTTATGGATTATGCTGCATATTTCAGAAGAAATTTGATATTTATGTCAGAATAAACTGTATTATCCCCTATACCAAAACAGAAAAAAACGATAAAACTTTTTCAGATTTGAGATGCTATCATTAAGGACATGCTATTATTCAGATAGATGAGGGTGACATTGGCACTGTGAGCATCAATGTAAGTCTGATTATTTAAAATGTTTAGACTTGTTATATTCAAAGCTATTTAAAACTGGCCCAATCAACAACAAACCAAGTAATCTGTCAATCTCTAGTTCAACCACATGAAGAGGGCGTTTCAAGTCATATCTAAACCACAAAGAAGACGCCTGCTGCAGAAAGGCAAAGAGGAGCTCTTTCAATGATGCATCTGTAAAATCATATGTTTCAAATAAGGAACAACTCAAATGCCGAATTACCTACAGTCTTTGTATACTAAATACTTATTTTCTTCAAGGCTAGATCACTTTTAGTGCTTTATTTGTGGTATATAATTAACCTTGGTTTGAAAACATTTTTTTGTAATCTCCAGGAGTGTCACCGAAACATATGCAAACATCATTAAAGATAGCTGAGTGCAGTCCTGATGGTGTGCGATACATGGCAGGAAGGAAAAGAGTTCTTTGCACAGCTTCTTTTTGTGACTTTAAGAGTTAACATCAGATGACCGCAGTACTTCACTCTGAGACACTGAAATACATCCACATCACTGTGACACACATCACACCAAAGCCACCTGAGCCCAGCTATAAGGGCCAAGAGGAGCACTTTTTTATCAGATGCACTGAATCCTTTTTTTAGTATGTATTAGGACTGGGCGATTATATGATCGGGATTAATGATCTGGATAAATTTCAGTTCGATCACTGTGATCAGCTGTGAGCTTATTTACTCGATCAAACATGGTGAAAATGTGCATCACAACAGCCAATCACAGTCAAGCTTTTCCTGCTCATTTCTGTAAATCAGCCATGACTTTGAGTCATTCTCCAAAGATGTTATTGTTGAGAAGAAAAGTTATTTAACGTCTTATTTAGTATTTATATATTTATTTTTTAATTTTAAGTACAGATGCTTTAAAACTGGCAGCTTAAAAAAAATCGGGATAATAATCGAGATCGGACAATAAGACAAAGTATATGGTGATCATCTTTTTGGCCAAATCTCCCAGTCCTAGTATGTATGTTAATATACCCGAGTGCAGATTTATTCATTCAGCAACAACAACAATCCTCTTTCAAAATATGTCAACAGACCATTTGTAAGCAGCCCAGCAGCTGCAGCGTGACTCTGAATGACAGAAACAGAGACTTACTCATCTCCATCGGGGCAGATGCCTGTGGTCTCGTCGTATTTCGTGCAGTAAACGTCGGGGCTGTAGTTAAAAGTTCCGTCTCTTCTCCTTATGGGTCGTCTCCGCCGCTGGTTGAGAAAATGCCAATGAAAGCACGTAAAGGGTCTGTGCTGCGTACACTTGTGCTGGAGGAACAACGGGCACTGCTCGGTCCTGAACTCCTTCAAGTACCTGAAACAACCAGGAGAACCAAAACAAATGCAAACAACCGGAATATTAAACTACTAGCAGCATAGAAATGAGTCGAGGGGAAACAGAAAAGTTAAGGGACTCTGAAGTGTCGTGTGCTGCTGCTAGTGTTGTAGCCTACTATATATTTTGGGTCACTAGCGTTAGCTTCCTATTCACGAAGCAAACTACGCAGTTTTCCAGCGTAACACTTGTTGAAAGTCAGTGAGCGTACGTTTATAAATGTGCGTAGCAAGAGGGAACTCAAAATAAGGCCGAGCTATTTACAAGCAGACTGGATAGCGAGTTCCTGGCTAATCGTTTAGCAGACCGAGTTGACGGTGTAACATTAAAACGATTATTCTAAACAATTCACTAACTCTATAAAACAACGTCAAATGATTCCGTTAGCATTATGCTCGTCCATAAATAGATGTAAGATTTCCAGGTTTCCCCAAATTGGGCTGATGTCGTTAGCGTGCAGTCGCTGTTTGCTATGTAACGTTAGGCAGTCACAAAGCCAGGAAAAGCTCCATGTTTTCACACACACGTCCAAGAGTTGAAGAATGCAACACATGCAAACAAGCAACGGCGCACGTGCACGTAACATATTCAGCCGCGGGTTATTGTGTCGTTTCTTTGCAGCAGCTTTACTCACGTATAGTGGGTAGGTTTCTCGGTTTGAGGGGACGCATTGGCCGCCGTTTTCGAAACCGACGGCATTTTCAGTCAAAACAATGAACTGCGCATGCGCGCGGATCTGTTGCTCGAGTGCGTGCACGTCCGCCAGGACGCCAGCGCGCTTTCAAGCACTGATGCAGGAGGGCGCTGTTTACACAGACTCCAACCTATAGACTGTATATCTTATATACAGTCTATGCTCCAACCTCATTCACGCCCCTTTATTTTTACAGCTTCTGCAAATAGTTGTCAGTTTTTGTGTGATTAAATCTATTATACATTAAATTAAAACAAAATTCCCACTTTCTTGTCTGACTTTAAATAAGGTGGGAGTTCACAGGGTTTGTTTATAGTTTAGTACGCTCAATTTTTATCTAATTTTAGCCAATATAATAGATTATACTCACTTTTGAATACCACTGATTGCACAACAACCCTTTATAATTTGATATTAGTTATTCATACATGTGAGACACGTAAACCTTTGTATAAAAACAGGCAGACAAGAGAATCTAAGTGGTAGTATCTATTTTTTATGCTTATGTAATATGATAAAATGTCAATTATTTTTTGTCTACCTGGAGTTTTACTGTTGTTCCCTATATGGTTCATCAGAGGACACATGGGTAACTAAAATCTGTCAAAATTCATCATCATTCATCATCCTTCCTGTCTAGATTTCAAAACTTAGTGATGCCAACAATGTTTTGAATGCTTTTAAAAAGGACATATTAGCATTAAGTCAATTGATGGTGTGTACACCATCAATTCTGCAAGACGTCATACTAGGAGAGGGTAATCTGTTCTATCCAGCCCCCTTTTTTCCTGTAAGGGATTTTAATTTACAAATGCAATTATACGCCTAATCCATTATGCAGGTGCTTAGGTCCACTGAGTGCACTGCCTTGTTATTATGCATGGACCCAGACTATCCTGTTATAATTACTTTGGAAAGCTCCACCCCAACTTCAGTAGGCAATGTCCAGTACCTTCCTTATGTAAGAAAAAATCTTGAAGGCTCTGACCTTTATGGAGAAAAATATTACGTTCCGTCTGGTCTCTGCATTTTTGAAGCAGTTCAAGCAAAGTGCAGATTATTTTGCATATATTTCACAATCCAACCTCCATACATTTCACTGAGGACTTAAGAATTAAGGTCCATACAGTTACAATGTGAGTCATTTTCAAATAAGAAGATGCCAACTATAAGGTTATAAGGTATAAATTAAATGTGTCAGAGTCAATAAGTAAAATGTACAACTTTATCATTCAAATAAAGAAGCTTCTGTGTTGGTTAAACTCAAACTTGGCTGTAAAACATTAAAATATCTGCAAAACTCTGTTTTCACAACTGCTGTGGAATGTTCTACTTTCTTAAAAAACGTGCATTTTTTTTTCTCCAGTGCCTTATCTTACCACCTTCACCTGCAAAAGATGTATGCTGTTCTTAACAGATTGTTGTTGTTGTTGTTTTATGCTCTCACACTCATTGTTTTATCCTATTTAATCCAGAGGAAGTATTGAATGTTAGCAAGGGGGAAAAGTCACACCCTTTTCAGTGTCTGTGACGTCAGCCACCACAAACCTTTGACCTTACTTAGTCGTTTCAGCTGTACACACAGTCCGCTGTCAGCCTCTTCTCACAGCATCTCAAATCAGAGTGTGTTTATGCCTGATGATGTGTGTGATATATACAGATGATGTTTTGCCCCTCCACAGCGCAGACCCTTCAGGTCTTGGCTGTGGTGTAGGTGTCGCTTACTTGCCGCTCCTCCTGTATTCATGCCATTGTAGATCTGACGAAGCCATGTGCTGTTTACAAAAGATTAAAGCCACATCTGTCGACATCAGCATCACCGCATAACCTGGTTAATGGCGGTCTTGAAAAAAGTGAAAGTTGAACATGTTGAATGTACTCTTGTATGATAACTCACAGGACAAAATATGTGTCATGGACATCACAAAAAATTCTCAAGAACCATGTGACACAACAAGTTTGCATTTTTTGCAGACCTCCAATAAACACCAATAAACAACTCTCAGCATTGCTTTCCCAGGCTGCGGGGACTGTTACAGCTGGAATAACAGTTTGTGGTTTGGACTCCTGTTTTTCCCAGTCACGCCATTATCTCTAGCTGCCTTGTGCACAAACACAGCTCAGGCCCAGAACAGGCTGGCAGTTCACAGATATTAGAAATTGGTGTTTAATCATCAATTCTGTCATGGTAGCGTTTCTAGCAACTTTTTTCCCATTGTTATTAACTGCATTCACCTGCCAGGTGTTCCCTTAAACACAGAAATAACTGTGTACCACATGCAGATTAAAAGTGAATTAAGGGGAAATCCTGTCAATCCTGGTTCACTTTAAGCAACCCAGGTAACAGTTAACACATCTGATTGAAAATATCAGTGCAATATAACAAGGAAAGATTTTATAATGTTTGCTAAGACTGATAAACTTACAATCACAGGCTGTAAAACTTTACGACCGATTTTTAAACCTCTGTTCTTGAGCCTCTGAGGGGTAAATAAATAGAAATTGTCACACCTCACCTCTGTATCCTGGTAATCCGCATCACATACACCAATGATCAGTCCATTACTGAGTAACTATTTCAAAAGCAGACAAGTAAACGATAAGTGAAGCTTCATAGGCGTTTGCCTTGGAAAAACAAAGACTCTGGCATCAGAATTTGTCTGGTGTTACGTGTCTGTTTGAAGCACTTGTATTCACTAAATAAAACAAGTTGAACCTGCTAACCAACAAAGCAAAAATCTTTATAAATCATTTGTCATAAGCCAGTGTCTTTTTTGTCTATGGTCAGACATGATTGTTTATCAGACCACTGATAAAAGACGGGTGAGGACAAAAGATTGAATCAGTGCCATGTTATCAACATTAAGTGACGTGTTCACTCAATTTGAACACCTGCTGGCAAAACAACACCTGCCTCTTTTCTCTATTGCCTTTCTAACCAGAACTGCTAGGAGCTGTAACTATCCTCATACTGGGCACTCGGTCAATCCTACATGATAGATGCAAGATGAGACCCTAAATTTAAATGGTTAACCCTCAAAAAAGTAATTTACTGACTCATAATTCATCTCAAAGTTTGACTATGAGCAAGAAAAAAATCTGAGAACTATTTTTAACTAAATTACCCTATGATACTTAAAGTCGTGAAGTTTATTTCAACTCAATGTTTTTTAATTTAAAAGTATTTTTCCTGTATGTACAATTTTTTTTCTGCCGAAAAGCTCAAAGCAAGGGAAACCGTAAAATATTTCATAACAACAGTAACAAATGAGGAACTGTTGACGTAACCGTAAAATATTTCATAACAACAGTAATAAATGAGGAACTGTTGGCGTATTAGCCTGCTCTGTTACATGCTTCAGTCTGATTGGTCAAAACCTCATAACAGTAGAGCATTATTTCTCAGCAGCAAAACTTTAAGAGAAATATTTTTAGTATCAGTGCAAGGATCCAGATTTGTGTGTGATGGTAATGAAAACGGAAAATAGAGGAACAATTATTTGAAGCTACATGACTGAGCTGTTGACCAAATTGAAGAAAGCAGACATTGAGCACACTGTTATGTTAACAGGATATGGACTTTAGCAGTTGGGTGGGAAAAAAAAGCCACAGAAAACACAAATTCTCTGAGTGTGCAGAAATGAAAATGCTCAAGAAGGCTGATATAATTTTGCTACAGTGAAAGTCTTACCAACAGTGGAATGAACCAGAAGGAGTGTTTCTCTTAGTTTTATAAATAGTTTCAACTCAATGAAATCTTCTTTAAATCAACAGTCGAAGTCTTCTTGTTCATAACTTTAGCTGGTGGCATAACAAGAGGGATAGTATGTACTGAGTGGGTGGTTATTACACATTGTCACCTGCTCACTATACATAAACCCTTCAGTGTTTTCAGCGGCATTTATATTCCACAGGTGGCAGAAGTGAATAGTGGGTGTATGGTTGATTCTTTCATTTTATAAAGGCACAAAGGCGAAGAGCATGCCAGCTGTCTATGTAACCCTCTTTTCTGCTGTTGCTACATTCATATAAAAGAAAAAAAAAATACATGTGAAATTTAATGAACTTTTTGTGATGCAGTCTTTGCTGTTTCTAAATGTTCCCTCTCACAACCAAAAATGCTCTTTTCTTCTGGAGGATATGCATGATGTATTATTAATTTAACTCCAAAGTTTGGACTCTGAAATATTAAAAACAATCCATCGAGTAGATAGACATCAAATAGCTTTAAGTACTGTACGTGCAATGTTGTCTACGAAGAGATACACACATTGAGTCATTTATGTCCATGTGTGAGCGTACCCATTTGGTGCTGTGGTGTTTTTGTTCAGAAAGTGAGCCGGTTTGAGACACAGCAACAAGAAACGCTTCATAGCAGAAGAAGAAGGCTGAAGTAATATTTAATGCTCAGGCATATATCACTATGATATAAAGGAGTTCTGGCATCTTCTCAGCTCATTAACAGTCACACTTCTGACACGTCGTTCCTGACAGAGAGGCGTAAATCAAGGCCGTGGTGGCAGAAGCGGTTCACCACTGACCAGCTGGCCTTCTGCTTTATAAAGAGCCGTAGCTTGTCCCTGAAGGTTTCTCCTAAAAAGCTGTAGATAATGGGGTTGAGGCAGCTGTTGGAGAAAGCTGCCAAGTTGACAATGTGGCCCGTGAGTGGGTAGTCGTGCCACAGGGTGGTAGCAGTTCTTTGTGCTGGGTTGGCCGTGCCCTGCAGCAGCTGGATGCTGATGAAGACATTCTCCGGCAGCCAGCAGATAAAGAACACCAGAACCACCACCACGATCATACGCAAGGCTTTCTGTCGCCGTGGCCACAGTCCACGGTGCTTCTGTGCCCTCATGAGGATTCGCCCAATTAGAGAGTAGCACAGACCGATGATGGAGAAGGGCACCAAAAAGCCGATGGTTACCTCCAGCCACTGGATCTCAAAGACGTTGGCGAAGCAGAAGTGCACCTCGCCCCTGTGTTGCGTCTGCACAATGGTGAAGGGGAGGAGCGTGGCCAGGATGGACGCCATCCAGATGAGGCCGCAGCTAAGCTTGGCGTGCTGCATAGTCCGCAATGGGCTGCTGCTTATGGAGTTAGCTAAGGCAACGTATCTGTCAAAGCTCATCCAGGTGAGGAAGAAGATGCTGCTGTACATGTTGACCTGCAGGAAAAGAGACATGAAGGTGCAGAGAACAGCGTAGTCATAGTATTTCTCATTTAGATTGAAGACCTCGATGAGGGAGTCTGCCACCAGGATGAGGTCAGCTACAGCCAGGTTAACAAAATAAAGATCAGGGATGGTCATCTTCTCTCTGTGGTTCAGGTTCACCACAAGAATTAAGATGTTACCAATAAATCCAATCGGAAAGAGGAGGATGGTGTACAGGCAGGACAAGAAGAGACCAATTATGTACGATTGTGTATTTGAGACTTCAGTCAGAAAGGTGGTGTTGAAGTCATAAGAAGAGTTCAGTGGGTCTGTGCTGTTAATATATATCCACACTACAGAGGTTGTCTGCACTTCCATACTGACTGTGGTTGGACTGTCTTGAATCAGAGGCCACATGTAAGTCACCTGTAGCAGCTACATTATCAGAGGCTGGTAGTTCCCACTGATGTGTCTTGAAAGGACAAACCATCTATGCTGTGTTTGTATGCTGACAGAAGTCAGGTGCCTTCAGCACAATTGTTATGGTTCATTTGACCCCATGACGAGACCAAGGTTCATCTACAAATAGATTCCAGACACAAAACAGCAGTGTCTCCATGTTTTTAAATTGTCTTTGTCCCCCGTAACCTGATGCTTCACATCATGCAGACTGTCCAGGCTGTGGTCCTGAGATTAGAGGTCAGGCTTTTTTTCTTCTTTCCTCTTGAGTCATCTGATTTGAGTGCTGCCCCGTCTCTCCAGGTCCGTGAGCATCTTTATTCAGCAAACCTCAGCCAGAGACGATATTGCTGTGACACCTGAGCTGTGGAGAAAACAAACAGAGCATGAAAGAGGATTAGGTGCAAAGACATGGAAAAAGGCAATCTCGTGCAGTGATTATTAAGTTTATAAAGGAACTGAACTATTTATTTTATTCAAAAAAAAAAAAAAAAAAAAAAGCAAAATTCTAACAGCACTTTTGTTAAAGTCCATGTTTGTGATCTAAAACAGAGGAGGTCAGAACTGAATAGCAGTCACCTATGAAAACACATCAATAGTCAAGCTCCAGACTTAAACAGATGCATTGAAATTCTCCTCAGAAGTCCTCAGCCAATCAAAGCTCGTGGGATCAAAACAGCGAGTCCTGACTTGTTGACTATTAACTGCTGAGATGAAAACATATTTATCATTAACATTTAACAAACACTGTGTGAACCCTGTCCTGTCCTGTCCAGTCTGGATGTGAACAACATTAAACGGATATCATCCACCCTCTTCATTAGTTGATCATTTTCAGGCTCAAAATCTCAGGCTTTCCTTAATGATGGGAAGATTTATTCTGCTTGGATAACATGAACTCCAGCTACATCGACGAGCCTTAGGGTGTTATTTTAACCAGAAGATACTCTCTGCAGTATAAAGCAGTCTTATTAGCAGTAGACTTCACAACATAATTCAGCACTCATAGGGCATGTGTGCATGTGCAAGTAAAAGAAAGAAATACATCAATTTTACAGATAAGTCTGACTTACAATTTTCTTTTAAAACATACTTTTCAAGAAATAAGTAACTCAAAGTTTCTTTATCCTTTAATTTCTCCCTTGTATTTGTATTTATGCTAATTTAATTTTGGGATTTTGCCATGTGGGAATAATAAAGGTATGTCTTATCTTATCTTATTAATAAATACCTGAAAATGGCAAAAAAAATAGTCAGTGAAATGACCTGAAGCAGGGTCATGACTAATCTAGTTCGCACCCTCTATTTTATGTTCAGATATTCCTGCAGTTGAAAAGCACAGAGAAGTACTTCTATGTCGAGAACAGGGACACAGTTCTGAGAATTAAATCACTTTTTATAAGTCTGATTTCTATCTATGTATTAAAACCCTGAGATAATGTCAAACTACTGTCAGCCACTCCAGACATGTACTAAGAGAGATGATGACATAATAAACAGCTCATGATGCAGCAACAAGAGGGAATGCCCCAACTAACACCTGACATTGAGAATTGTAGACGGCGTATCTGCCAGAAATAAAGTACCAATCCTTAATCTAAAACTTGACTGCAAACATTCAGAGTAACCTTTTCCATCCGGATATAACAGCAAAGACGCAGCACTTACTCGTAAAATCATGGTTTGGCTTCTCCTCCATGCTTGTCCGGTGCAGAAGTCAGACACACAGATTTGTAAATCCCATGTCTGGGCTTCTCTTCTGCACCACCTGCTGTTTGGCCCAACCCTGTTGTCTGAAGAGGAGAGGAGGGTGGGAGAGAGACGGAGAGGCAAGAGATGATCTGTCACCCATGGTTTGTCAACATGCTTCATCACACTCCCTCTCTTTTCTTTTTTCACCCAGTTTGTGATTCCAGGTGTCCAGCTGAGCAACTGCAATGATCCGGGAATTGAACTGGCTGGGAGCTGGTTTTGACACAAAGGAAAGTTTGGACAGCAAAAAAGAATAACAGAGAGTTTGTCTCCTCCAGATTGTGTTATCGGGGTTTCGATTTACTGATTGGCCGAGGATTTCTGAGGAGAACTAACTCTTGGTTGTTAAATTTGAGTCGCTGTATTTCTTTATAAGGTTTTGAGAGGACTTGCGAGCTCTCGATCTTAATAAAGGGGAAACAGAGCAGACTCTTGGCTCCTGCACTCAGAATAACATTAATATAATTTGTACTAATCTTTGTGTCCATGCTGGGCCTGTGAAGAACTAACTGATAAAGTCTGGCTGAATGCATTCATTATTACAAACATACAATGGCCATCTGCTACGACATCTTTGATAACACCGGGCAAATTGCATCATATAAAAACATAACTGAACAACTGATTCATCATAAATAGTTGCTGATTTCATTAAGAAAGGCCAAGCACATCACTCCGGGAGTCTTACAGACAACTAAAATGACAACAGAGAGGGTTTAAAGAAGAGTACAGGTGGAAAATGTCTCTGCCTCATTTCTTTAAACTCCAGGGCTGAAGCTCGGAGGTCCTGAGAAGGTGGAAAGGTCGCTTAATCTCCTAGTAAGAGAGGAGACAGGAGTCAAGGCCAAGTCTGGATCACTGCCTGGAGGTTTGGAGTTGCAGCTCTTTTGTCAGCACCGTGCTGCAGCTCCAGGGTGAGAGAATGTGAGACAAACAGGAGAGAGCACGTGGCTACAGTGCAGTTTAGGAGTTCAGAGACGGGGGGAGCAACAGTGTGTGCACCACTTGGAGACTTAAATGGAGGCTTTTGTCTTCTAACATCACACTCAGGGTAGGAAGCTTGTGGAAATGCTGTTTTAATGTCATATCACTACATTTAATTTTGTTATGACTAACTTCAGACCTTTAGCTTTGACTTCACACGTCATGAAATGTCACTTTTATGGACACCCTTTAGCTTTTTAAGACCCCCTTTGGTTTGCTTATAGGAAAGATGTTAGAGCTGACAACGCATTACTAACATTAAAGGCATCTGGAAACAACATTTGGCTCTGTTTGAATTGTTCTTTTGATTTTTTGAGGGCTTTTAATACTATTTAACTGCATGTTTTAATTCATTTATTGGATGTTAATTGTAAATATTTTGGATTTCTTTACAACAAAACTATTTCCTGGGTTGCAGATTACCTTCTGTCTGAAAAAAACAAAACAAAACACTGCCTCTTAAACTACAGACCTGTCTCACTGTTGCCACAATTCTCCTAAATTCTGGAAAGCTTTTCAAAAACCGAATGCACTAATTTGTATTACACTGAGTCGTGACATACTAATAAACAATTTGTATGCAGATGATACAGTTATTTACTGCTCTGCTCCAACATAGTCTCAGGCTCTTTGTCACTTACAAGATGCTTTTGCTATTTTACAAAAAACCTTTCATGAGTTGAAATTGATCTCAGATTATGATAAAACAAAACTCATGATGTTTGCAAACTCAAAGTCAGAGCTGCTCTACCTGTCGTCTATTACTATGTCTCAAGGTGATGTGATTGAGTCTTCCTCTTATGAATACCTAGGGGTCTTAATTGATGATTATCTGTCTCCTAACCTTCATATACAGCAACTTGTAGAGAAGCTGCGGCTGGGCTTCTGTTTCAGAAAAAAAGTCCTGTTTTTTCTTTTGCTGCAAAGAAAAGATTTGTTGCAGCTACATTTATGCCCCTGATATGCATCAATTTAAAGCTTTCACTCTCTGGATGCTGTTAACCACGGAGCCCCAAGGTTCATTACAAAGCTAAAGTCGCTCACTCATCACTGTTCTCTGTATGATCTAGTTGGCTGGCCTGCTTTGTCTACCTGAGGACTAAAACACCGCATGTCCTTCTTTATGTGATTTAGGTCATTCTTAACTTCCCCCTCTGTCTTTTATATAATGTAATCATAAGAAAAATGTTGGAAGCTACTGTCCTCACTCTGTGACCCAGTCACAGGATTTACTTTTGTTCTCTGTCCCCAGAGTGCATCTTGAAATGGGTAAAAGAAAAAAAAAAGTTTTAGTAATGCTGCTCCTGCAGCAGCAGAATCTGGGTCTGGGGGAGCTAGTGTCTCTAAATGTTTTTTTAAGTTGATTGAAGACATTGGAGGAGGATGCATCAGGCTGTTGCTGCTTTGAAAGATGATTTCTGCTGAGTAATGCAGGATATATTAAAACATATTTTAAACGTCTTGGGTGTGCTTGTGTTGTATGTCTGTAACTTTGATTGAACGTGCTGTTGCTGTGTTGGACACTTGAAAATGAGATTTTAATCAGACTTTCCTGGTTAAACACTATTTGATATAAATAAATATATATATAAATAAATACATTTAAAACTCAGTAATTCAAATAAATATAAAACCCACATATATAATATAAAATAAAGTTATTTTTGCATGACTAATAGAAACGTTCCTGGAATTTTCTATTACTCACTTAACTTCAGCGAGCTCTAAGGTAACGGTTAAGTATGAAGGTAGGCTGGTACAAACCATGAATTTCTTTGAAAATTGACCTGTTGAAGTGGATGCATTCACAATCCTTACACCACATTTAACACTGAACAGATTAATGTTCCGGTGCATAAAGAAGTACTCCCAAATATGTTCATAAAATATACAAAGTGCAAAACTCTCTGGATCCACGAATCTAAGTACAGATATATACAGCGTATGTTTACATGTACAAATGTTTTCTGTGTCTTATTTTGTTATGAAGGGTTTCTTTTGGATAAACTGAGTATCTCTGTCTCACTACTACAGGAGAAGTAACATATCTGATTCACACTCCATCCACTCTTATTTGTACCTGGTGAAATGCTTTCATTGATCTCAGGAGCTCACAGGTAGACAGGTAGACATCTACACCCAAGTATATACTTCTGTGCATCTACCTGTTGCTGGTTTGTGAGCAGGTTGCAGACTGTCTCGTGTCTTGAAACGGATGATTCAGCTTAGAAGAGTAGTGATGGTAGCGTCACAGGCACAAACATGACTCAGGTTTGACAGGAGGGAAGACATCCGAGTACAGTCTCTGTGGGTTGGAAAAAGATGATTTTTTTTTTCTGTGATAGAGAGTTGATACAGCAGCTGAATAAAGAAAAGAAGACAGCAGAAAGTCTGAGAGGTCATATAGTCGTGTCAGATTATTGCAATTTTCTCTCAGCTACCTGAAATCTCAGCTATTCATTGCACATGACTTCACACAGATAAGGGGGGAAGGGGTCTGTAAAAGGTCAGTCCAGTGGAAAGGTGCTTCAGACTGTCAAAGAAGGGGAGGGGGGAGAGGAGAAAAAAAATCTCCCTCGGTAGTGATGACTAAGACCAGGGGAACGAAATTAACTACACTGAATATTACAGAAAAATGTGAAAGTATGCAGAGCAGTCAAAAGATGGGATGTATTTCCTCGAAACCAGGGTAAAGGAAGATCTCATATATACATGTGCAAAAAGACACAAAGAGGTTTCGTTCTGACATTGATATCTTGGATTTAGAACTTGAAAAACGTGTGACTTTCAGTGGTGACACAGACTCTTGAAAAGTTGAATATATTTTGCACCATCACCACTTAAACACCCAGGTTGCTCCGTTTTATATCATCTTCCTTATTTCACATATTTTGCTGTAATAACAGATATTTACACCCATTGAACAGTATGCATATTTCACTGAAGGCTGCACTACTTCTTTATGTCCACTAGGGGGCCCACTGGCATAAACATTAAATAATGTTTGTCAAGGTAAAGAAAATGTGACCTCTGAATGCTTTGGTTGACTCAAAGAAAGACAGATGTACCTGGAAGTAATAGCAAAGATTTTTGGCGAGAGCATCATGTTACTTCTAAGAAGGCCAAAGATTGAAATTGCATTATAAACAATAATTATACATAATAGAGAAGGTCGGTTAAATGCATGGTCATGTTTTTATTAGTGCGACAACAGTTATAGTCCATTACTTTAAAAACAGCTGCTGAGGTGCCTTTGCTTCTAATTTAGCAACAGCCGATCATGAAGCAGAAGAAAAACAAAACTTCCTCATCCATTAATATCTACTTAATGAGGCCAACTACATTGCCAGAGCTGTTAATGGCAAGTTGTGGGGTTTAACTGCTTGTGGTTGTGGGAGTGAAAGTGGGAGGTCTAAAAGGAGGGAGGGTACAACACCCTCATCTGCCTCCACTTACCAGTCTGATGTGCTGCTGACTCCATCCAACATCTCCCACAGCCACAACCACAACCTCTGAGTGGAACATCCTGCACAGTCCAGCTCCTCCGCACTGCTTCCAGGGCATGTTTGATATTTAGCTGATGCTAGGATTTCACTGTTAGTGTTTTTTTTTTCCCTTCCTAATTCTCTGTTGTCGTTTCTGAGGAGGATGACAGGACTGTCAAGGGAGGAAGGGTGGGATGTTTTTTCAGATATCTGCCCTTGTCCACTTGTCTCCTCTGAGTTGAAGTGAAGTGTGGGTCAAAGATGAAGGTTCCTCCCTGAAGTCTCTGCTGTGATCTGTGGGATCCAAGAACATCACTGTTATCCTGTTCAAAGACTAAAGGAGAGTGTTGTTGATACAGAGAGTGTTTTATAAGTTTTATTGCTTTGGCTAAACAGCTTGTTGTATCTTCAGTTCACTTGCCAAGGTGTCAGGCCCTCTTTTTTGAGATTTCTTTGACGTGATCAGTTTTATAACCTAAATATTATTCATTCTCTCGGGGTCTGACACTTTTATTGCAGCGGTTGGTTGGTTCAAGGATTCAGGGTGTTATTACACTACTGCCTCCTCTCCTACTCTTCAGATCCCAGCGTGAGATAGATTTCTAAAACACTTACTCTAACCTGTCCCGTCTTGTTCTCATCTTTACATTCAGCAGCCCAATTTGACCCACATTTGGAAAAACAACAGCGGTCTAGGAGTGTGTGCATGAGTGTGTGCGTGTGTGAAATCTGGGCGAGAGCCAGTTGAAACACTGGAAACCACAAGCCAAATGTTCTGGCTACATAGGTGGTCTGATCTGCATTTCTGTATGTTTGACTGAAGTTTACCCCGACACTTTTGGTCTGGCTGAACCTCTGCAGAAGAAAAATAACATTAAGGCTAATATAGAACGCTAAAAGCTGTGTGCAATGCGGGTCAGCATGACCCCGTTTCTGTGCGGTTAAGAGCTTTTCATTGTTTGTGTGCAACCTTAGAAAACAATGCAAAACCTTCTGGTTCACTCAGTTCACTTTGGTAATCTTTATCAGTTTTAAATACAGATGATCAATGTTGGGTACATGTTTAACCTGAAACTGGGTTTGAGTTTCCATGAATAATATCTTCAGGCCATTCCCTTCTTGTTACATCTATTTGAACCCAGCCGTCCACCACCATTGGCCCTTTGGTCCATCGAGGTGTTATGAAGTGGGTGATTCATATTCTTTAGAATAGTCGCCACCTCCCTCACTGTAGATCTCTCCCCCACATCCTCTAGTGAGTCAAACTTGAATCCAATCACATTTCACCAGTTTTTTCAGACGTCTTGCATCTTTGTGTTTGATAATATTAGAGTGTTACAGTAAAGGATTAACAGGAGCTGTGTTTGTTCGTGACAGTTCCTCACCTTCATGCTGTGCAGTCAGTGTTCTCTCTGCCCATGACTTCACTTACACATGGCTGCATCTTCTTCCTCTCCACCAGCATCGATGTTTACTTACTCTGATGTTAAAAGATTTGGCGAGGCCTCCTCTTCGACAAATATGGACTCTGTTGTTTGTGAATGGAGTCTATTAGTGTGTAGTGTGCTTTTATAGTCACATACTTTGTTAAGTCTTTCAGTATTGTCTTCGTGTGTGTGGGGTGTCGCATGTTTCCGACATCTGTGAAGGTTCTAGAAAGTTTTTCCGGGCAAACCTCACAATTGGATTTTCATCATTATTATGGAAAAACTTCGTAAACGTACGAATGCATGTCCCACAGGGCTTCAGTACCATCCTGAGCTATTGAAAATGTTGTTTTGGTTTGTTTTCTGACGCTTTAAGTATGAAGTGATTCATAAAACAATGTCGACATACAGCAGAGAAGAAAGAGGCAATCACAGCGGCCTTGCTCAAGTGACCTATTATCCTGTTTCTTGCGTGGTAGTGCAGATAACGGCTGTGACTAAACTAAACATGGTGCAATCTGGTGTTGGTAATATTTCTTGGTGTGACTGTAGGGAGTAAACAGTGCGGATGATTACCTCTTTTTGTATTTCAAAAAAGTGCAATACAACCTTGTGACAATGAGACAAATTCCCTGCTATCTTTTTACTGCTCCTACTCTGAGGCAGTGACACAGTCCTCTTCAGTGTGCAGATATCAGATAAAGCCTACGCAACAATGAGAGAAAAGGCATCAGTATTTGACTGTCAGACCCACAGAAGACAAAACAATTCCCAGAATGCCAGGAATGCTGATGTTTTCCTCCGTCTGAGTGGCGTGGTTGAAGGGTCTGGCCACAAGCAATCTGTTGTTAGCAGCATGGCGTGCAGGAGGAGAGCTGTGGCACCCCCTCCCTTACCCCACTCCCACTGTCACTGAAAAGCAGGAGGAGGGATGAACCTCAACATCCTGTCCATCAACTTGAACCGGTCACAGAGTTACCGAACGAAGATGCATAATGCTTCTTTTGCAGCACTCCAGATAAGTCTTTCCATGTGTCCCTTTGAGGAAAATACTGTACTTCTAAAGAGCATGGTACCTCCCTGCTAAGCTCTCTCAGTATGCATGAGTTATGTTGTTATACACATACAGACTTAAAGTGGATTGAGTGAAACAAGGTGAAACCCACCACGATAGCTTTGACACAAAACAATATTAAGGGTAACTTAAAGGGATATTCCAGTGTAAAATTAGGTTAGGGTCAAACACACCATTGACACTCTCTTCCAGCTGCCACTTGTTTTTCGGGGAGTCCGGACGAGTCCATCACTGAGTGCAGCGGAGTTTCGCAGCTCAAGGAAGAACATTTATGATCATTTCTTCAAGGAAATGCAATCAGACCAAGACACTAAGGCGGAAGAACTACCACGTCTGCAGTGCAAAATGATTAATATGATGATTATTATGTCATGGAAATGATCCACTGCACTTGGTGATCGACTCGTCAGAGCTCCCCCACAAACAAGCTGCTAGAGTAGATTGGTTGAGTTGTATTTGGTCTCTTTGCTAAAGAAATTAGGCAAAGCTTAAAGATATTTAATGGCTAGTACTATGGCTGGGACCCCATATGTACTGTTGATGAAGTTAGGTGCTGTTCTGAGCATTATTTGTGGCTATAGAGTGGCTTTTTGGTTGAGGTTTGCGCGTGGAGATGTAGACTGCTGTGTATTGCTATCGTGCGGTCGTTACTAAAGTTGGTATAACTAGAGAAGCAAGCGGTTGTCAACATTCATCTCTTGAGAGGGCGTCTAACTCGGTGTTACAGTGTGTTTGATCATAACTTGAAATTTACGTTGGAATATCCCTAACAAAAAACACAGCAGTTTTAACCTAATTATCTTTGCATGGGAAGATTTGGAAGATTATAGTCTCTTAAAAATAATTAGCAGAACTCTGACCAGAGTAGAAATCAGAGTTTGGTCTAATTTCATCCAACTTCATTCAGCACAGATGAAACAACTTGTTCAAGTTTCTTTGCTTGAGAGGTATGTTTTTACTCTAATCTAACTATTTATCTATTGTGGGTAGTTTGATGCCGGTACAAATCCAATCGGAAATTTAATTCTCTTTAGCGTGCCTTCACATCTTAATACCAGAGAAATTACACTCTGCTCTTGAATAAACAGAAAACTGGGTGGAACAAATTTAATGAATGAATGAGCATGTGTGAAACATTTTAACTGGAGATTTGATTAAATTAAAGTGGAAAAACAGCAGTTTCTCATGGTGTGAAGTGAACCTGTAAATGGACTTAATCTTATGTAATGTTGCTCCAATCCAACCATCCAACAGTCACGAGCTTTGTTTGGGTTAAAGCACTTCTCATATGACTGCGTGCTACTGTGGGCCGCCCTGTTCTGAATGAACAGAGAGCGTGAGGACTTTGAACTGAGTTCAAATAAAGATTAACTGTGTCGCTTACAAGCCTGTTAATGGGACAGCAGATACTGTAGCTCATAATGTAAACACAGCCTCTGTTGAACACAAACAGCGCCCCTTAATGATTGATTGTGAGTACACACGAGGTAGGTGGAGCTGTGCAACACTTCAAGACAAACAGTAACCCTCTAGCATATGATTGATATGATGTTAAATTTACAAGAGAATCATCAAATATGTGTTAGTTCTTCAGGTGATTCTTTAAGATTGACAGGGGAAAAGAGAAGAATGAATGATTGAGGCAAAAAATTCACACAGTCTGCAGGGTTTAAGTTACTATCATTTATTGTTAACAGAGTGAAATAAACACAAATGCACCCTAAGTTTTTCTTCAAGTGAATGCCCCATCCCGCTGCTATATCTGTTCACAGAATGATTTATAAACTGGCCCTTTTCTTCAGACAGCAAATATAAACTGAACTGATGCAGTGATTAAATAGACCTCATGCAAAATCAAGAGTTTATTTTTCTGTTTATAAATGTTTTGTTTTTTCACTGTAACTCTTTTTTTTTCCTCATGCAGAGGAAGGCAAGAAAGCAAAGCACCTTTGCATATAACGAAAGGATTACTTTAATGGAAGTGAGCAGCACTGCAATATAAACTCTGCATCCACTGCACTGTTTGCAGGCCTGAATGTTAGGCTGTGTGAAAGATTTTTGATTTATTATTCAGTCAGGCTTCATATCTCCGTGAACAAAACATCCCTACTACTCCAAAAGTGCTCGTACAATTTAAAGAATGCACATGCCACCTCCTCAGGGCCTCCATGTGACCCTGTGGGGACTTCACTGACCTTGTGTGAGGCTCTTTATCCAGAAATCCTGCAGAGGCACTGCTTCATAAATCTCAAGCTAGGCTCACACTAGGGATGGGCAATATGGGCTAAAAATTTGTCACGATAAGTTTTGCCATTCTGGTGATAATGATAAAAGTCCCAATAGAAAAATATAATTCCTATCTATGTTTCTGACTCATTTTGTCTTGAGGACTCCAGATGGCATAGTCAAATAATATACTTTACTATAGGTTTAAGTGGTAGGTTATGGATAAAACTAGTGAAATGTCAAAACACTTTCAACATTTGTTGAAAACTCTTATTGCACAGAGTGTGCAGATCCACTGTCCGATGTCAGGCATACCTGACTGCACTCGTCTAAACCCCAATCTTAAAGGAAATCCCTCATGTGGAGCCTTGCTTAGCAACAACCTGCTCTGAGACCTCTTCTTCATTACCTTCAGCCATGTTTGTTTGTTATTCTGATCAGTGTGGGCTACAGCTGCGAGTAGGGCTGGGCAATATGGCCTCAAATCAATATCACAATATATTGACCAGTTCACCTTGATAATGATAAATGGATGATAACTACTCAACAAGCTGCTCACCCCCTTCCACATTAACTTCGTCTACTTCAGCCGCTGCTCCAGATGCTACAACTTTTGATCTCTTCACCTGTCTTTCCCTCTTTGTTACGGACTGGATGGGGTGGAGTCACGTCTCTGATGTACAACAGCATCTTAAAGGGACATGGTACTATAGCCTACCTACACACATCCAAAACCAACTTTTATTTATTCATTTTTTGACACCTAATATATTGACACGGGCAAAATGATGTCAGTTATTGTCGTAAATTTCAGTATCGGTAAATTTTTGGTTTATTGCCCAGCCCTAGTTGCGAGTCCATCGCTCACACTTGCGACATCAACTTGCATTCATTGCGTTTATCGTGAGATGGCAAACATTTATCGTGGAGGAATTTTCTGACGCTATATCGTGAATGATAATTTGTCGCCCATCCCTAGCTCACACTAAATGGGTTGATTTCTACTGAGCTGTTTTGCTCACGGCCAACTGATGATGTGATTTCATCTGAGATCACAAGAGGTATACTGGTTATGTCTGAACCCTGAAAACAAGCTTCAAAGAGGAAATCCATGTGTTTGCGGAGTGGATGATGTGTATCAAAGTGATTTATGATATTTGTAGTCAAGCTTATAAGGTATGCAAGATTAATCTCTTATTTTGCTAGTAAGAGGATAAAAACAACATAAGTGTAATGAGAACATCTCTGTTTTCCAGTACACGAGCTACAGGACAGTACTGGTATTAAGAGCAAGACAGCTTTTGAAATGAGCCTACAGTTTCTGTAGAAGTCCTTAAACATAGCACTCCAACTTCAAAATGTGAAGACTATTAATAATGATAATAGCGAAGGAATCAGCCCGAAAGGACATATAGCTTCAAAAAGTCGAGCTGTCTTTTCATTCAAGTGATCAGGGCCTTTGAATCTTCTAAAGAGACAAAACATCCTGGCTTCAGCGGACCGTTCAAGGTTGAAGCTCGCTGGTTCTTCACGTCTGTTAGGTGAAAACATCATGCATCATTCATCACTGATTTCTGGGTTAAAATTGTATCTAGCAGCATATTTATGTTCTACAATGAAATGCAGGCAGTCAAGCATTAGTCAAACTTGCACACCGTCAGCAGAACATTCAAAACACATCAGGGGAGGCGGCGCCCGCTGCAAAGCTGTGGTGCTCAGGAGTCCCGCGCAACCAGGATATTTCTTTGAACGTCTGTGTGAAAAAGTAAAAACTAAACACACACTGTGCTGGGTAGTTATCAGCTGATTGTGCCAATTGACCACACTCAAACTCGAGGCCAGAGAGTCTTAGTGGAGAGCTTCACTGTAGGACAAAAAAATAACAGCACTTAGTGGTTTTTTGCTTGATTTGTCCTCTCTCTGCAGAGCTGGAAAGATCAGATCAAGATCTAGAAGGTGACAGGAAATTCCACAGTCAGCTACGTCGCTTTTAACACAGTCCAGAGCGCAGAGGGAGCCCATTCGGGTACTGGCTTGATAAAGGGGAGGGGGGGGTTAAGTGCTGGCTGCGCCAAGAGGTTGAAAAAAGGAGGACCTGGGAGGAGCGTTTGCAATCCCCCCTCTGAGCAGATCTCACGTCACTACTTGCTGCACTGTTGAGCGTTCATGAGAGCAAGACTGGTCTCTGCAGTGCAGCCTCCTGAGCAGCCGCTGAAGCTTGCTGGAGAAGTTCTTGTTCATCTGTCTGTACATGAGAGGCATCACGAAGCTGCTGGAGAAAGCTAGCAGTTTAGAAACACATCTCAGGAAGTAGTAGGTAGGTAGGTAATGTGCGTTGCTAATATACCCTGGCGCACCGGCTACAGTGTGTACGAGCAGGGTCATGTAGTACGGGGTCCACAGTACAAACTGCACACAGACTGAGGCTAGCAGCAGTCTGTGAATAGAAGGGTCCAAGCGGGCAGAGTCCTGGTCAAGTGGTGTGGACTCCTTTCTGATGCGTAAAATGAGCACAAAAGCGTAAAGCACGGCCACAGCTGGAACCACATAGCCGATGAACATCATGATGGCGTCTGCCGCTTCCTTATTCTGCATCTTTGAGCACTCCACCATCTTTGTGGAGATGTGGTTACACACGTAGAAAAGCAGCGAGGAGAAACTGGTGAGCACGGCCCCGCCCCAGATGAACCCACACACATGTTTGGTGTTATACACGCTGGACATGTATGTGCGCGGCAGCGCCCGCTCTATGTAGTAGTCTAGACTGAGCAGCGTGGTGGAATACATGATGACCAGAGAGGAGATGTTGAAGAGGATGAGCAGAGTGATGTAGACCTCGTTGTTGTACTCCCAAGCATGCCAGCGGGTGAAGGTGGAGCTCAGCAGCTCTACGGGGGCCACCACATTAAGCACTAGTCCTGCAATGGCCATGTTGACAAAATAAACATCCGGCATGGTCATGGACACCTTGTTGGAGAGGTTGACCACCACCAGCAGAGCATTGTAGCACAGCCCCAGAGGGAAGCACACCAGGAGGTAGATGAGAGAGAAGATCGACAGGATGAGGCCATAGTCCTGGCAGAGCCGGAAGTCCAAGCTGCTGTCCGTCTCATTGTAAACCATGCAGATCCACATCGCTGGGCTCTGTCACGGGCCGAGTCTCTTAACAGGTCCGCTGTAGGAAATGAGAGGAAGAATGAATGAGTTACAATCCTGAGAAGAAGTTACATACAGTAATAACTTAAGTAAGGGTTTGTGCCAATAAATTTAAATCAATACAAAATTTGTATTTTATCCAGGGGATTGCCTCGTGTGACCTGACCAGATTAAAGAGTTAGTAAATGTGACGTCTTCACAGCACAAAGCACGCACAGACCCGTCTGGGGGCGGCACTTCAGCCGTGATCATGCATTTGATTTAAAAGACTCCTCCATTCAATACAAAAAGGGTCCGACAGAGCAGAGTGGGTCTCTACCTCGAAATGACTGGATATACTGCAGGCTGAGCTCAACAGGAGTGCAAACTCTACATGGCAAAAACAGATGGTAGTACCGAGCCTGAAAGCTGCACAAAAACTGCTCCTGTGGACTTCTGCTGAACACAATGGAAATTTTCATGCAGACAGTTGAAACTGTTTTTCTCTGGGAGACCCCCAAAAACTGACTGAGTCATAATTACTAGTGAGACCAATTTTAGGGATTTTACGGTAAATCAGGAGCATAGCACTGTTAATATTCTCTATGATCACATAATATTTATATGTGTTTAGGGATGTCCTGATTCGATATTGATATTGGGTATCAGATATCGGTCTGGTGTCAGAAAAAAATATTTAAAAAATATTTAAAAATATATATATATCGGCCTGCATCTAAAATTTCCAGTATAAGCACTCCGATACAAGCAGTGCATTCCAGACTCCGCTCCAGCACCTCTATCTAGCAGCGCCGTGATCCAGCACGCAGAGCCCAGGTAATCACAACAACAGTGTGTACTAAGGTACGAACAAAGTAATAATAATAATAATGCATCAGATTTCATATAGCGCTTTATCAGAGACCCTCAAAGCGCTTTACATTGGATACATCATTCATTCGCTCACACAGTCACACTTTGGTGGTGGTGGAAACGTGGCTGCCATTCTGCGCCTACGGCCTCTCCGACCACCACCACACAACACTCGCAATCATACACCAGTGGAGGACACACACTGGGAGCAAGGTGGGTTAAGTGTCTTGCCCAAGGACACAACGGACAGACTTGGATTAGGGGGGAATCGAACCGCCAACCTTCCGGTTATTGGACGACCGCTCTACCTCCTGAGCTACTGCCGCCCTAAAGCAAGAAGTAAGAGTGATGTCAGCAGTATTTTGTCAGCAGTATTTTTCATTAAAGTCAGAAAAAGATGTTGCAGTTTAGAGCAAAACTTGTCATGCACGAGTTTGTGCTAATATTAGATCAATGTTGGTATCGGCCAATACTGAAGGCTACAATATTGGTATCATATCGGAAGTAAAAAAACTAAAAGTATCGGGGCACATAGGACTGGGCGATTATATGATCGTGATCAGTGATCGTGATAAATTTCAGTTCGATCACGGTGATCAGCTGTGAGCATATTTACTTAATCAAACATAGCGGAAATGTGCTTCACACGAGCCAATCAGAGTCAAGCTTTTCCTGCTCACTTTTGTAAGTTGCTGGAGAAGTAAACAGAATGACCGAACGTGGGGCTAAACACAGAGCTGAGTGCAGCAGAATAGATGTCAGCCGTGACTTTGAGTTATTCTCCGAAGATCTTACTGTTGAGAAGTTACTCAACATCAGTTATGTGGTGGCGGTTCGGGTATCTCCATAGTGACGTCAAGCAATTAAGCCGATGTGCGAGGTATGTCAGCGGCGCCCTCAAAAACCGGCAACACAACAAATCTGTTTAATCATTTGAAGAAGTACTTCCTGAGTGATTATGTGAACAGCATGAAAATGCGAGCGGAGTCTGCACAGCCTGCCACTGCTGACGGCACAAGTAGCATTAGCAGTTTAGCCACAACTAGCGGTGCAGCCACCAGACCAAAGCGGCAATAAATCGCATCATCTATGTTTACATCATCTAATGTTTACATTTTAATGCATTTTCATTATCTCTTAGGGGGCAATTTGTTTATTTTGGGTCTTGCATACCTGCAAAAACACTCTGACCTGTAAACTAATTCACTGTATTATTTAGAATTTATCTATATATGTTGCAGGGTTTTTCCTGCGTTCAAAATTGCGTGGCGGCCGCCTCCACCTAATTTTGTGCCGCCCCCAGTCAGAGCGATTGATTTCGCTCAACACAGCGTAAAGCTCCAGCTGTGTTGATTGAGCGATTGATGTCCCGATGCAGCAGCAACGTATTTTAACTGCAGTTGCAGCGTTTCGCCACTATAGAGGCGCTATATCAACAGCAGTGCACCGGAAAGACTTGAAGCATCTACCGAAGAAGAAACGGATCGAATCATGTTTTTTCAAGTGTTTTTCCCGCTAGTTGGTGCTATCGGCGTCCTGATTTTCCCTGGCGGATGGTACAAACAGGTAAATACTGCTTCTCTTTTTTGCATCCAAGCATGTCGTGTTTATTTAAAAAAAAAGTTTACTCCGTTTTTAGCGTTGCAGATATGACAGGCAAAATCAGCCAGTACTTTAAAAAGCGACCTCGCGAGGAGGAAAGTCAAGAGTCCAGGTGAAACACAGCAGAGAAAAAACGTAACAGGCAGTTAAAATGCTATAATTCATGTTGGTGACAACGTGGAAATTTGTGTCAGGTCTGAAAGTACTTCACAAGGGACTGGTGATCGCGAGGGTCAGAATGCAGGACAGGACGAGTCGGCGAGGCGAGGGTAATTAATTAATTAGTTTTCAATTAGGAGCATAACAACGCAAAGCCAACGTGTACGTGGTTTTTATTCCTCTTTCCAGATCTTCTCAAAAACACAGAGCCAGTGGCTTTGACAAGCAGTGGCTCAATCAATTTACCTGGCTCAGGCATACTGAGGAAGGCATGCACTGCTATTTATGCCAAAAGCACTGTGCCCCAACACAGCAGGCAATTGCTGCCTCCTTAGTGAGACAGCCATCAACCAACTAAGGGCTGGACACATTAAAAAGACATGAGGTGACAGCCATTCACAAAGCAGCAGAAGAGAAGGAGAAATATATTAAAGATGGTAGTACCTAAAAAAACTCAACTAATAAAGTTACAAAAAATAAATAACATAGTTTAGATAGTTTAAGAAATAATTGGTTGTCGTTTTTTTTTTTTTTTAGAGAGGACACTGCAGCGTATACATATATATGATTGAAAACACTATCACTCTTCATGTCTGTATCAGAATAAAAACAAAAATACTTAATGCATGATGAACTGTTTTGTTTAAGGTGAAGACACCTCTGCGGAACAGACTGAAGGAGAGGCACTTGGATGTCTGTTGTAAGGTGGCCGTTGATGGACCAGACCAGGAGGCCTTGGACTACAAGGAGTGCATGAGGAGGTTCTACAGAATGAAAAAGAGGAGGCTGAAATGTTCTGTCTGGTTGTGAGATGTGTGGATGAAGTGTACTTTCAATTTAAAGTTGCCAGCTGATTTGTGTATGTATATAGTTTTAATAAATGAATGCTTTAACATAATAATGGTCACACTCTTTTTTTGAACTCTTAACTTAACGTATGTTGCCTGTAAAAGAAAGTGAATCGGTTGAATTTACAAATACATGCACGTCGTGGCGCACGGTCAGGATGGTGCCACCTCCGCCTCAATTTGAGCCAGGAAAAACCCTGTGTTGTATTGTTGAGTTAAAATGGTTTTTATATTTTTCTAAGCATATTTTATTCAATTTGCTTTGTTACTTACTGTGTATGTAAATAAAATGTTGAACTGTTGAAACTCTCTAGTTTCTTTAGTTTTCAGTACAGATGCTTTAAAACTGGCAGTTTAAAAAAAAGTTATAATAATAATTAAGATCGGACGATATGACAAATTTTATCATGATGTTTTTCTTTTGCCAAATGGCCCAGGCCTAGGGACACACCTATATGTGTTATATGACAGCTCTGACAGCTCTTCTGGTTTTCTCTAACATATTTCCCGCGAATCATTTCAAACTGGTATCTGTTGTTGACTTTTTAAATGCTTCTTATTATGATTTATACCACAGGAAGGTTGACAGTGCTTCACACGACAGCCAAAAGTAATCAATCTATCAGTGGGATTTAGTCTCAGTCTTCTTAAGGTCATGTGAAAACAACACAAAACCATAAATGTGTCCATGAGTCAAATTCAGCTGTTATCATTTTCTGTTAAGGAGAAGCAGGCGAGGCCTTGACACAAAAACACATCAGCCCAGGAATGCCTATTACGCTCTGTGTAACACTGTTAATTTCACTTCACTGCATCTGACTGGCTGAAAACAAACCCCTCACAATATGTTTCATTTGCTGGCTCAGCCTCAAAACTCAACACTCCAGTTTGAGAGCTATCCCGGCCAGAGCAAGTGTTTCATGCCTTAGCAAGCTTTTAATTGACCCTTTTCTCTCTTCACACACCGGAGCAGACAGATAAAGAAAAACACTTCTCAGACTGCTGCGAGTGAAGCACGGGCACCTCCTGTTCAGGTTACTGTCACACTGACGGGGGCTGGGCACGTGGTGATGGGTAGATTTATAAAGAGTGAAATGTGACGCAGGCTCTGGCTGAGGGTCAGTGAGGACCCGGTCGGGGGTTGGGGTTCAGGGCAAGGTCAGAGAAAATGATCACGCACATGTCTGGAGCGTAAGTGATGAAATCTGACGAAGCCAAAAAGCTTAGATCAAAGTACGTGCAGGTCCTTTTTAATATCATAAAATGTCGAAGCAGAGAAGACCAATGAAGGGCTTAAAAAAACACTTTGCTGTATTACTTTCTTTACTTCCTTCCTTCCTTCCTTCCTTCCTGCCTACCTTCCTTTCTTCATAGTGCAATGCTCTGTCTTGTTTTGGGGAGGATGAGTAACAATGCCAGTAAAAGGAAAGCGTTCCTCTGTTCCCTTACGTAACGCCACTACAGAGGGGCTGTTTTGGCCTTAAGCCTCAGACACATATACACACAAAAACACACACACACACACACACACATATAGGGACACAGAGGCTCAGTCCCTCCTCTGTACTAATCCAATTGGCTGTAATGAGACTATAGTGGGGGCTGGAGCTCAGAGCTGGACTGGAGCAGGATCAGGAGGAGGAAAGTTTAAAGTTACACAAAAACGACAGCAGTCAGACTTCTTGTAAACACAGTGACTCACTTACTATAACAGAGAAGTCCCGTTTTCTGTAGTTCTGGAGAACTCAAGAGACTTTTCCTGACAGTGATGCAGATTGAAACAGGTTTTTCTCGCCCCTTTCTCATCCAGCAACCACTGATCTCTTAAGGAGAAAATGACTTTAAGAGAAGTTGGTGATAATTAAAGAGAGAGCTCTGCATTGTGGCTGCCTGTTCTCATTCATTAGCACCTGCTGTATTCAGACATGTCGGCCACCCTTTCATTACCACATTGGCCCCCTGTGCAGACCGTGATAGCTGCAGGATGCTGACATGTCTGCGTTATAATGGAGTCATGGGTTTTGTGGGGACTACTGGCTTAAATTCCTGTTTCATACACACGGATACAGACCAATGTTTCACACAAGATGCTGAAAATGGTGAAAAAGTGATGAGATACAGGAAAAAGTTGACACTTAGTTTGAGTGCTAAACACTGGAAACTGAAATCCTGGAGTTTCCCGCATCTGGACATGTCAAAATTAAGACATGTAAACATCAGAGCATTCATCTTTCATTCTTTAAAAACCAGCCAGATTTAATAACAGAATTCAAGGAGACAGCTGTACTGCCTGAAAAAAGACCACAATCGGAATTAAACTGTGAAGTTGTGTTTGCTGAGCTGCATGGAATGTTTATTGAAGACAGGCTTGAATTTTTTTTAAGAACTCGGATGAAAACACAGCTGATAAAAGGCACGAAAATTCCCTGTAAGCAAGTGGGTGGAGGTGTTTATATCATGCAAGCAGTGCACGACCTGTAGGGGTGGGAATCTCTAGTGGCCCCACAATACGATATTATCACGATACTTGGGCCACGATACAATATTATCACGATACTTGGGCCACGATACAATATTATCATGATACTTGGGCCACGATACAATATTATCATGACACTTGGACCATGATACAATAGTATCCTGATACTTGCGCCACGATACGATAAGCGTAATACTTGGGCCACAATACAATATTATCATGATACTTGGGCCACAATACAATAGCGTGATACTTGGGCCACGATACGATATTAGCATGATACTTGGGCCACAATACGATATTATCATGACACTTGGACCACGATACAATATTATCATGACACTTGGGCCACGATACGATATTAGCATGATACTTGGGCCACAATACGATATTATCATGATACTTGGGCCACAATACAATATTATCATGATACTTGGGCCACGATACGATTTTATCGTGATATTTGGGCCACTATACGATAGCGTGATACTTGGGCCACGATACAATATTAGCAGGATACTTGGGCCACAACATGATATTATCATGATACTTTGGCCACGATACAAATTTATCATGATACTTTGGCCAGGATACAATATAAGCATGATACTTGGGCCACAATATGATATTATCATGACACTTGGGCCACAATACGATATTATCACAATACTTGGGCCACAATACGACATTATCATGATACTTGGGCCATGATACGATTTTATCGTGATTCTTGGGCCACGATACAATATTATTGCAATTTTTAACATTTTTTAATATAGTAAGTATTGTGATACAATTTATTGCGATTCAAATTTTTTTACAACTGTTTCGCTAATTTAGCATTTGGCTTTCCTTTATGTTTGTCTTATTTACACAGTATTTTATTTTTACGTAGCACATCTCACAAACCTTGTATATATTTGCTGTACTAACTTCCTCCTGCTCTATGATGTCACTTCTGCCAATCCTTACTGGACAAACAGTTGATTTTATTTTCCATTATCAAAGATTTGACTTCATATGAGAAATTAATTTGAAAAATAGGTACTTGGTAAATGAGACGATACGATATATCACCAGACAAAATATCGCAATACTATTCTGTATCAACTTTTTTATCTCCCACCCCTAACAACCTGTAGTATTGTTGCGTAAGAAACGACAATACGTGCATCATAAGGCAAAAATCTGTCTCGTAAACACTGCACAGTCCATCTTACGCCATCCTTCCAGGGGAATCTAAACACTGTGAGTGTCATGTGTGCATGAGTAGTTTTGCAAAATTCTCAGGTTAGCTGTCCTGAAAAGAGTTGTATTTGAAAAGTCTGTATTTGAGGAAGGCAAGCACGTTCAGCTGCAACACTTAATTCAGATTTTTCATACCCAGCCTGTGTGCATCCACAGTTAGTGCTGTGATGTCTGCATCAATTCCCTGGTGGGGCAACTCCTACTTTGTTGTGAGAGTCAGACCACTGTGGCGCTGTATATTCTGCCAACAGCCCATGATAATAAAATCTCTACTTTTCCACTCAGCTGAGCAACAAACAGGCGAGGTGAAAGAAAATGTCTCTCCCCCTGAGTCTGGATGTTTGGCCTCATACTGCAAAAGCTGTTTCGGTTTCTATTCAGAGTCATGAGGACCGTTTTATGTCAAGTGCATTTCAGATTCAGACAGAAACACTGGTGGAGGTTTTATAAGGGCTGAGTGAAGGTCAGAGGTCTGCTACACACATAAAACTGCTACTAACGCTTGTGATCTACCTAAGGCTTTAGAAGTAATGACAGCTGTGGTCATAGTTTCCCAAATGCAGGGATTGAATTTTGCTTTATTGTCAGCTTCACTTTGTAATTTCAGGTCTTTAATGTAAGCTGTAATATTGTGGGTATGCATTTGGCTCTAGCTTCAACCCACACAGACAACACTGTCGTTTAGAAAGGAACTCATGATAAACCAAGGAGGATGTCTGTTTAAAGCTGTAACCAAATCAGGTAGAAATAGCAGACTTTTGCATAAAAATGGGTGTTGATCTGATCAATCTGAGGACCTATGGACTACTTTAGAACCAGGTTAGAGGGTCTGGCACTTCCAGTAATTCAATAAAGTGAATACCAGGCCAAGGTTTCCTTTATGAGAAATACTGTCGCTGATAAGATTGATAGCAGGAAGTCGAGTCACTGAAATCAGACCGGAAGTCATCATGATACCAGAACTTTGATCTTTAGGTTGATACCAGCGAAAAACGTCAACAAAATCAGACTCGCTGATGTTATATTAACAATAAAATTCATTTTATTTTCAGCTATAATCAAGTGCACGTGAAATGTAAACCAGGAGTTTTACAGCTTCAGCAGTTTCCTGTAAAGATGCCTAACCTGAAATGACGTGGCTGAACTCAAGCGAAGAGGGCAACATAAAGAATAATCCTTGCTGAGTGTCTCTTACATGACTTCGACTGCAGTCCTAGACTCGGATAAGCCCCCTCTGAACTTCTTGCCCTGCTGCATGTCAAAAGTAGTTATGTTAAATGTTCCCAGAGGGGGGGTGGGTCCTGCTTCAGCATGCTCCAGCCCCACCAAACATGATCTCGTAGCAGTGACGCCCACGTGCTTGACGTCTCAGCGTTTTGAAGCCAGTTCTCGTGCGCTGATGGGAATAGTGTGACATGCTGGGCCCACACCCCTCATATTCCCTTACTGGAATTTACTGGCGCTTCTCAGAAAGAAAGTAGAAAGAGTGATGTCACATGATTTGCCACTCCTGTCAGCCTGCAGCAGCATGCAGCAAAGCGACAACAAAAAACACCACAAAAAGAAAGTGAGGCGAAATGACGCACAAGTACAAGTGTTGCAGTGACAGAGGCAAACTAAAACACCATGATGCTTGATGCACAACACCTTCACCTAACTTACGGTGTGTCATTGAAAGTTCAGCTTCCTTTATGATGTAAATATTTCATTCAAGAATCTTTCCTGGTTCCACTCACTCCTCAGCTGCCTATTATTCTTGGGAAGCAGCCTATTAACCGAGAGTATTATTGGGAGATCTGACTTCAGGTGCTTGCTAATGCTGCATAACATTTTGCAAATTAAAATTACTAAGCCCTCAGAGGGGATTTAAATACTTGACGGTGACTCAATTTCTGTGTAGGCATTTTACATAATTCTGCCCCAAACAATATCTGCTTGAAGAGAAATGAGTCACCACCGCACTTTTATTTTCTTCTTTGTCGGCAAGATAGTTTAAGTATAAGAGTGGAATATGTCAAAAACTTTACATACAGATCAATCAGCTACCTGCCAACACTTTCTCTGAGTTTATCGATGAATCCCTGCAGAAAACAAAACAAAACACAGTAGCTTTGCAGTAGAAAAACAGCGTCTTGTCAAATCAACTTCTAGTGTAGGAGACAGTCTGGACAGTATCCTTTGGCCTCTTTTCCAACAACATGTTGAACTGTCACAGGCATCAACAAAGTCAGAGTTCAATGGTCAGCACAAAGCAGGCTTACTTCCTTTAAGCCACGGCACACATGCCCATGTCCCATTCGGTCACATGGACGAGGCTGAGGACATCAAGTGGAAAGGCTCAATCTCAAGAAGCATTTACTTTACAGTCATTTCAGGCCAAAGGGAACAATAACTTGGCCTGGTGGCTGATGTGAATTAGGGTCAGGTGGATGTTAAGGCTATGGTGAGAAACTAAGGTCATCTGTTTCTATTTCAGGTTTGAGTGATCTAGTATCTTCTGAATAACTTAAAAAAAAACAATGACATAAATCAGTAATAACACCTCGATGAGCTGTGATTTTAGTAAATATCTGAGTTAAGTAAACATGACTGCCTTTATTTTCAGCCTAGCAACGATTGCATAATTCCCAGACCTGGAATGACATCTCATGAGCTTTTGGCAGATGTCAACTCAACAAAATACAGACATATGGACGAGCTATTCAACCTTGCAACTACACTTTGCTCCTTTTGCAAGTGAAGTCATCTGATTTAAGTGATAGGGCTCTCAGAAAGCTGATCCGAATTTTCCTCAGGTGTTATTTTCCGATAATAGACCCGCTGTAGCTGTGTAAAGTGCAGCCTATCTCTCGCCCTGTCTATTCATCATTGCGGACATTGTGTCTCTCCATCACACTTGACTGCGCGGATCAAAGCGTGGACGGCTGTCACGGCTTCAACAGTAACCCTGCCGTTTCTGCTGCTATTGTTGGCACAACTACAGCGAAGTTACTCCGTCGCACTGAGCCAGTTTAAGCGGAGCAAATCAACTTTTCTATCGCTGTGAAGTGCAAATCAAATCAAAGGCGTCACGTTTCAGGTTAAAATAACAGCGAGCGGAGGAAAAAAACTCACCAGGCACGTATAGCTTTGGGTTTCACCTACGGAGGCATAGGGTTTGGATGTAGCATTTCCACTGCCATTTCTCAGTCGTTTCATTTGACAAACACACGTCCAAAATCTCGCACTTCGACCCTCCTCGCGCCCATAAACCCCCCAAAGCAGAGAGAAGAGCGGTTTTTACTGCACGTCTGTACAGACAGAAATCCTCTATCAACTTTTCGGACGAGGCTTGTTCTGAAAAGGGGCCGTCCGTTTCAGACTTTACTACTGCTGGAGTGCTGCTGAGCCCCACACTGTGTACACACGTGACCCTCCCCCACTGGCTCCTCGCTCTGCTCGCTTGCCTCTGCTGCTCTACGTTCGCGAGGCCCGAATGGCTGTACTCTGCTCTGATAGGCCGGGCGGCAGGGAGGTGGGGCGCGAGGGATACCGAGGGGGAACACACACGTTCACGCACACAGTTGCAGAGACCCCTCAGGCCCTACAATATTTACGATTTAGAGCAAATGTTGATGACTAAACTTTACTACCGATCTCCCAACCCAAGTGAGGACTTAACACTGAAGCAACATTATTCTTTTTTTTAAAATGTTTGCCCTTCATTTTGTGTTTTTCTGAGAGGCTGAATCTAATTTAACATCTGAGAAATTGGTGGGCACTAGGTCATCAAGATGTGCCCTCTATTACTCCTTTGTATGTGAAATGACATTATAGAAGTTCCTCTAGGGTGCTCTTCCAGTGTAGAAAATGAGGTCTTTATTAAAGGGATATTCTGGCATAAAATTAATTTAGGGTCAAACACACCGTGATCATTTCTTTATCATTTTCTGGAAGTAATAATCACCATATTAATCATTTTGCACAGCAGACGCGGTACTTATTCTGCCTTAGCGTCTTGGTCTGATTGCATTTCCATGAAGAAATGATCATAAATGTTCTTCCTTGAGCTGCGTCACCCCGCAGCAGTACGCAATGGACTGGGCCGAGGTCTTGCTACAAACAAGCGACTGCTGGAGGAGAGTGGGTTGGTTGCGTTTAGTCTCTTTGCTAAAGAAATTAGGCAAAGTTGAAAAGATGTTTGGTGGCTAGTGCTATGGCTGGGACCCTATATGTACTGTTGATGAAGTTAGGTGCTGTTCTGAGTATTATTTGTGGCTATAGAGTAGTTTTTGGTTGAGGTTTGTTTGTGGCTCATCAGATCGCTGTGTATTGCTTATCCTGCGGATGTTACTCAAGTTGGTATAGCTAGAGAAGCAAGCGGTTGGCAACATTCATAGTTCGAGGGGGTGTCTAACTCAGTGTTATGGTGTGTTTGACTCAAATTAATGTTACACCGGAATATCCCTTTAAAATGCCTTCTCATGACTGTGCTGCTGGGCCTGTGATATGCCTTTACACCAATGTAAATGTCACAGAATCATAGTTTTGCTTCTTAACTGGTATCAGAGCCATAGGCACGATAGACCAGACACAGGGAACTGTCAATGTGAAGGCCAAAGTTGGCAGTATGGAGCAGCGCTGTTTGTGTGTGAGGAACTTGTTCTTTAGCGAAGCTGCCTGTCAACCTTGTGCAACACTGTAACAAGAGACCCTTACATGATGTAATCCTCTAACTCTGCTATAAAGAAGTCTAACAATCATTGCACTTCTGTACTTAAACCTTGCAGTGTGATATTGACCCTGCAGCATTAGAGACAGCTTGTCGTAACACAGCAAGAGCTCCACATATACAATCAGACATGCAAATGCATACAGTGCTGTTCCGCCCTGCTGGCTCATCTGTAACACATTGCCACCATTTTTTTTCACCACTCCTTGGCTTCAGTGTAAAAGTACAAAGGCCCAGTGACAGTGAAGCTTTATTATGGCACTGCAGCAGAATCTAGAAAGGGGCTGTGATTAAACTACCACTGTATGGTGACATTACAAACAAGAAAATGTTACAAAGCTCCATCTGAGATGACCTTTCATTGTTAAAAATGGGATAAAGTGGGCATGAGGATACATTTATTGTGGAGAAAATAAGTAACTACTAACGGTAACTACTTTAATGTGGAAAATGTCCCAGTTTTCCATAAAAGCAAAATAAAGATGTCACGTAAATTTGCCATGTTTTAGTATCATTTCGTTTTCACCTCATTTTCATACAGATTGGTCCTGAAATTTATTGCGGCATAAGTGACCGAGGAAAATAATCCTCAATCGTCAGTATATTTGTTCTTGATACGAGGCTTCAGCAGTCTCAAAGAGAGAGCGAGAGATAATTTTAACCAACAGAAATTCAATGTCAAACTCAGACTGATGAAGCTTTGGGTTAGTTTTAGATAGACTCACAAATCTTTTTGAAAATGCGTCAAGAAGGGCCAGTACACAAAAGGCATGATAAATCCTCCTCTGTTATTCATGCAGGCTACGGTTATTGTTTCAATAAAGACAGTAAATAAATTCCGTGTCCAAACACACATGAGGAGTTTTCTATTCTGCTGTTCATGATGAAAATTTACAGTAAGGCATATAGAGAGATAATCACCTTGGGAGGTATATTGAAATAAACACAGTCAGTTCGAGGGATGAATTGCCTGTGTGTTCTGTTGAATGGAGTCTTTAATTAAGCATCTGAAATTTGCTAAGAAGATTAAGGATTAAGATGTAAATTCTTCACTGCTTATGGCACATAATCCTGACATGGAGAACAATGCTGTACAGCAGATGACTCCAAATGGGTCTTGTTTACACACATGCTATTTTGACTATGGGCTGATTGATAGCCGATGTCATTACAAACACGCACAGGCATCTCAGCAGTCGCGTTTTATTCCATTCATCCCAGAGAGGAAATTAGTGAGTTGATGCTGTCATCAACAATAGTATGTTTGATTGATGCATAATTGGTTGTCAGAACCAACATCCCAAGTGACAGTTAATTATATATTTTAGACCATGATCCATCCGCTAATGAACCAAATCAGCAAATGAGGATTTATTAAAACTTTTCAATCCTGTAGTATTTTTTCACAGCGTCAAATTTAAATACTCAAGTTTCAGTTTTGCAAAACTTGATGCTCCTTTTCAAGAAAAAAAAAATCAGTGTAGCAGTACTGAATATAGGTCTCTTGCGCTACAGTGGAAGACCTTGCAAGAAATAATAAAAAAGAAAGATTAAAGAGCAGCCCACCTCACTTACTGTATACTCAAAGGTCTGTGTGAGTCATGTTCAGTCTGATAAATCCTGACCTTTGCAGAACTCACAATGTTCCCTGGATGCAGAGAATTTACTGTGATGATGGAAAAGTTCCATTATGTTCAAAGAGGAAAGGTAAATGCATGTTCAAGGACAAAAGCAATATAAATTATAATGAATTATGAATTATAGTACGACAGAGGAATGTCTTAGTGGAAACACACTTTACCGTTCGTGAGTACTATAATGATCACTTTCCACTGTTGCCTGGATGACAAAGCCAGTTCAGGGGCAAGCTATGTTTAATGTAGAATGGAGGGATATTCAGTATTCACATTATATATAATATTACAGAAGTGATCACAAAAACACCTTTACTTACTTACAAAGAGGGGGAAACGGTTTTAAAGTTCTCATATGACAAGTGTATGGATATCTACACTCACAGAAACAGGCTAAATTTATAACTTAAGAATATGGTTTCCGACTGTGCAGGAAGAACAATATGGCACCTGCAAGAAAAAAGTAAGAATGAGCTACAGGCAGGTGCCCATATAAGAAAAATCTGTCCTACTGCTGGCTGGCTACCTTTGATTTCTAATCCTTCTAAGCTTTCACAGTTTCTGACTCCTGTAAAAGCATAAACCTGCAGGCAGTGATAACATTTCCAACTGTGATCTAAGTTTTTAAATGAATCAGATTGAACATTTTCAGTCTGTCACCATTCAGAAAATGCAGTACTGACTGAGAGATACAGAAGCATCATTCATGTAGATCACACTGCAAGCTTTTAATGTTGATAAAACTAATTAATGATGATAATTCACACAAATCACTGTCTCTCCAATCATATTCCTCTGCTACAGTAGGTTAATATTAATAGAGATTGAAAGTTTTGAATAATTAACATCTAAATATACTGTTGTAATAATAAAAAAAATACCCATCAAGAGTGTAGCCTTTCTCGCTCAAGGTCTGAATCCAAGTCATATGTGCAAATGTGTTGCTAATGCAATAACATCCACATTCAGCCTGCAGAGTTCCACAACACTAATCCGATTAATTTTATGGTATACATCTATGCACACACTACTGCTTCCTTTCCTCATATAATGTGTATAAGAAGATTTTCAGCTGTGGGCTGCTGGGAAGAACATATGCAGCCACATCAAGCTGATGAGAAAGTAAGAATTGCATGACATAAGAAGCTGTTATAGCACTGACGATGTATTGAAGTATTACAAATTAGCAGCTAATAGCACATATACATTGGAAAGTGCTGTAGTGCTAATTTGATATCTACAGAGATCACCAGTGTCAGCCCAAAGTAGAAGCAATACTGACAACATCTCTGAACCTGCAGCAGTTGATGCATCAGCAGTGCTCCATTTAGAGAGTCAGAGCTTTTAGCAGCTTTCTCTCTGTTAATAATAGTGATGTCAGATGCAGTTTGTTAGAATAGACCGTCAACAATAAGTAAATACATCTGTGACTACACATCTTAAAGTATTTTCATTGGCTGAAAACATTCTTAGTGCATCATCTGATAGATTTTTATAGAATATTTACAAATGTATGATTCTGTCGATGTAGACAGCTTTGCATCACCTTAACCAGACACAATACACCAAGCCAGAAATGTATTTGCATAGCCCTTGACAAATGCTGGAAAAAAAATAAAGTGTGTTTAATTTTTGATGCGTTTAGGCTCTACTTTTGTAATTGATGTTTGAAATAACAGGGTGCCATCAGAGTTCTCCATACTCTTGTTTTTCTGTTTCAGTGGTCAGCATATGTTGATTACTGCTGGTTTGCATGCCAGTATCTTTGATGTGTTTCATTAGTCTAGCAGGGGAGAAAGTGAGTGTGAGTGTTGGGGCAAAGTGGACTGTGGCTTGAAGGCCTAAACCACAGTTTATCCCCAATCAGGCTCTGAAATCTGTTCCTATTCTTGGAAGCCTCAGCACCACAGCCAGGCTCTGCATTTACTTTCTCTTAAAGACTTTAGGCTGCATGACGACATATGGCTTGTTTACAAATGAAAGTCTTTGCTCAGCTTCAGGCGGGCCGCTGTGGAAGTCAGCTGTTTGCACTATCCCAGATGGTCACAGACACGTAATGTGAGTCAAATGGTAATGATTAAACCAAAGTGTCCGTGGCTGTATTCACATTCTGGATTATTATGTCTTTTCTGAAAGAGAGCTCCCAGAATACAAGTAAACTGACAGGCATGCCTTTCACAACAGAGGACACACCCAATGTGCCTGTGACTTTTAAATGATGTTTTATGTGGAGAATTACATGCAAATAAACAGAGACACAGTGCAGCCAGGCAGAGCAGTGCACGCTGCGCACATGCCTTTAAGCTCAGAGGCCTGGGAGTGCACATTAAGCTCATTAAGTCTGTGGTGGAGATTATGTAGTGTTGCAGACCAGGAACCGGCGTCCAGTGGCTGGGCTGTCTCCTCCTTTTCAGATAACAGGAAGGATATAGACAGATGAGGGTAGGCGAGCCCAGCCTTGTCACTCGGAAATCATCTTCTCTGACTTACTTAGTGATCTATGAATTCAGGCGTGTGCCTTTTGAAAAATACAAGTCACGTTGTTTAGATATAATTGAAAAGTGAATGTTAGGATGCTGGAAAAGCTGCCCATAATACAGTGCATGATGCGAATCAACACACACTCTAGAGTATACAAACAAGGTCGATGCCTGTGAAGTATTTATTTATAATCTGCAGCAGAGTGAAGCTAAGAGACAGAAAGCTCCCCTGATAATCAAAAACAAGTTCATGACACAAACATCAGGATGAACCCTACAGCCTGGTTTTTGTCCTGCCATCACAACTGACGTGATGCCAACTGAGGGCTGTCAGCCTGTCAGACAGCCTCCTGGAAAAAGGCATCCTATGTAACAAAATTTGTGTTTGTGCGCATGTGCACTCGCTTTGGCTTTATTTATTTTGAATACAAACAATACTTGGAATCTCAGTATAGCTGAACTATAGACTAGATAAGAGAGGACATGTTGATTAAGGTACTTGTATTACTGTGTAGAAAGAATAAAACACTAAAGGAGCCTGGATTAACATGTTATTAGGTCTGACTGCTAAACCCATGTCTGTGTTTCCCTGCCACTACAAATGCAGCTTTGGGGAGTTTTTGAGAATGAATTTGGTATTTCACTTCTGTCTGTGTATCTCAAAACAACACCCTAAAATGATTGGGCTGTAATTTTTGTTTTGTCCTGGCCTTCAGGCCTCCATATTGTTTACACTCAAGCAATTGGCAGAAAATAGCAAATATGAAATACGCTAAGCTGTTGCTGCTCTCCATATTAATAGACAGCTATTACTGTAAAAAAAAAAATAGTTTGGAAACTTTTAAAGTTCTAAAAATGCAGAAATTCATATTAATTAATTAATTTCTTTAACCTTTACGTAATTCTTAAAGATCATTAAGGTTTCCCTGATCTACAATGATGTCGAGGAACAACATAAACACATTTAGAACAAGTTGAAAAGCGAGACAAGGAAGTAGGATCAATGAAAAAAATTACATATTGTGATGAAATTATTTGAGATCATCATCTTGAATATGCCAAAGGAAAGTAATGTGTAAAAGTTATTGTGCAGTAAATCCTTAAACTTCTAATCATTATTATTTTCTAACTGAAAGTGGTGTCACCTCTCTGTGGTGTGCCTCAGGGGTCTACTTTGGGTCCCTTTTCGTTTCCCTTGTTGATACTATTATACTAGTGTATGTATGAATCGTTTTATCCATAGAACCAACTGAGAAAGCATTTCTCTGATTAATAGTCATTAAAAAAATTAGATGGCCACCCTTTTCCTATTGCTCCTTCAAAAACTCATAAAGCTTTAAGCCACCAGTCCTCTTTAGCAGTCTTCAGTCCCTCAAACTCAATGTAACCTTAGTCCCACAATTGCGTAAATCATGAGTGACCCTGAGCGTGCTCATATCAGCATGTAGATATAATGATCTCCTGCTGTACATATCTCTGCGGAGGCCTGCATAGCTCTGTGACATTCCTGGAGTAAGTGAAGAGGATAGTTTGTGTTATGGTAGTGGGCGTGTTTTAAAAAGGGGGTGTGGAGGGTAACTGAGGTGGTGCTCAAGTGCAAGCAGAAAAAACACACAGACAGCTGTTTCCACCCACTGCTCTGCTGTTAGCTTGTCCTCAGCAGAAGAATGAGCACTGACCTCAGGTCAACCTTGTAATGTATCCTTTTCAATAACATCCACCTCAGCCGTGTGCTTTGACAGTAGTTTTATGGCACGTTCCTTGGATTTTTTTTATCTCTTAAGGGAAATCTAATTGTTGCTTTTGTTACAGAATAGGAGCACAAATCAGGCCATGAAGCTATTTAATACAATCTGGCAAATTGAGCAAGTCCACTCTTGAATAAATAGCCTCCTTATTGGGTGTGTCATCTACAAATTAATCACTTTGTACCACAGAAGATCATCTTTATCATTTGGCACGTGTTTTAGTTTATAAAAACTCATATTTGGCAGTTAACCAGCAGTTAGAGACAAAGGGCTTAAAGGCATGACTTGCTTTTTCTAAACCTGTTTGCGGGAGAGAGCCTGTCGGTGTCGGGGACCAAATGAAAGCACAAACCTGAAATATTTGGCAAGTTAACACAGTCATTCTGTGCAACACATGTGGGTTAAGTCCCACTAAACTCTGCAGTCCTACTCAAATGTTTTCTTTTATTACAACTGCTGAGTCTGGGGAGTCTGGGCAAATCCTAATGCTCCTAATCTAGTGAAGAATTTATTAGCTTGAAACACATTTGCTGTCTACCAGACTTTTTAAGTTTTTTATATTGCTAATGTTCATTTTTTTAATCCCATCGTAAACCTAAAACTAACATTATTTTTTCTTGAAAGAAAGGCATCTTTTGTCATCATCTTGAACTAAAACAAGCTCATAGACATGTGCTCAAGGACCATATGTCTGTTTTTTATGGTCTCTTCCTGTTAGTAAGACCAAAGGGAGTGGTAGGGCAGTGGGGGATCTGTTGAGGGCCCCCAGGGCCCCCTCTTCAAGGGGCCCCTCCTCCATTCTGCTGCAGCTGTAAGCCAAGATTATTCCGCTGTTTGGTTCCACCAGATGCGGCAGCGCCACTGGATGGGCACTGTCTGGTCCTGATGAGCAGATCTAAGAGGGATTAGTGAGCTGTTGTGATGGATCGGCAAGAACAGTGGGAGGCTGTCCACACACAGCTGTGTGTTTGTGTGTTTCATAATGCTCTGGCCTCTGGCCTGTCTCTGGCTTTGGCTCCAGCCCTGAACCACCTTTCCTTCCCACTGACCTCACAGTTCAGGGAGCATTCAGACTGCAGACAGCGGGAACTCTGAAATTTCTGGAACAGCATGAAAGCCATCAAAGAAACATGATTCTCCCTCCAGGATTGTGGAAGAGGAGTACTCAGACAGAAGCACTGTATGGCCTGAAAGTG